AGGATCCTGCTCCTCTGATGCTGCTTGGCCTGCTGTGTTCATCCAGCCCTACACCTTGTTATCTCAGATTCTCCAGCATCGGCAGTTCCTACTACACCTGAGAAAATTTGTTCATTTTGGCCATACAGTCACAAATGTAATATATTGCAAGAAGACATTTTTAATTCAAACAAGTCCTAATACCAAAAGCATTATGCCAGGATATCATAACCACGTTATACCAGGGACACATGGGTATTGAACATATGGTCCGGTTACCAAGGGAGTGACCAAGGATCAATCAGGATATTCAATGATTTGTGAATGCATGTGAGACAGGCCAAACGTATCAACCCCAACACAGTAAGAAGCCTCTAATCCACGACAAGTTCTATCTGCTCCATGGATAAAAGTAGAAATGGTCCTACTCACAGCGAATGGGGTGGACCACAAACTTGTGTTGAATTACTTTTCTAAATTTCCCATTGTTTGACGATTAAGCAACACAATGAACGTGGCTATCACTGACAAGATGAGTGTTACTTAGAGTTTATTCGGTATCCCAGAATTGGCAATGTCAGACAACTGACCGCAAAACACCAGCAAACATTTTTAAGAAGTTTATTCAGTGGGGAGTGACCCATTACACATTGTCACCCCACATCCATGCTCAAACAATTGAGCAGAACCTGTGATCAATGATAAATTAATGATCATTAAGTATCGGGCAACAAAGCAAGAATTTTGCATTGCTTTTCTGTGTGTTTGTGCAATCCAATGGGGAAAGGATTATCCTCTCCAGCATTGCTCAGGGAGCCAGTATCAATGACCATGTCTAGCAATGAATTGTCTAACGATCCAAGACCTTGGAACATAAGACAGAGGAGAATGAAAGACAAATATGACAAATGAGCAGCTGGAGAGCTCCCAAAACTCCACACTAGGCAGAATGCGAGTCCAAAATCCAAATCCAAATACTGGGATATAAGCAAAGAGTTCTAAGTTATGCACCCAGTCCAGATCATATGAAATCATTACTGATCGTGTGACTATATTGCAAAGGAACAAATGCGCTCAATGTACAACACAAAGCATGTGAGGAAGATCACTCTGAAATTAATGGTTGTGTGGTGACGTGAGTGAAAGCAACCAGCAACAAGACAACCAAAATCATTAAACAAGCTCAACACGTACCTCTCCAGACAGGTATATAATCACTGGATCCGGGTGAATTGTCAAATCTCTAAAGTGCTACTTGCAGTTTGAAATGAAAGTTAGTAAATTTCACCTGTTTGCATAATATTCAAATTGACAACATGTGGCTATGTACTACATGTATATCTGTTTGGGATAAACTTTTATCTTTGAAAATGGGCAGATCTTGTGTTATGTCTCATGGCAAGTATGTCAGTATACATTTAAGAGACACACTCATGGCATCTTCATTGCCTCATAGCATATGACCTAAAGGTATAAAGATCTCATGCTCCCTCTTCTGTAGGATCATTAGTTGCATGGCATCCTCTGAGATGCAAGCCCCTCTGTTGTAAACTAATAGCTTATTATTAGCTTAGGCACTCATGGCCACTGAAGAATATGATGTCAGTAGGAAATAGCTAGTTGTAAAAAAATGTCAGTCAGATTCTTTAACAGCACAATAACTATGCCAATTTCTGATGTTACAGAAGGTAACATAAGTATTGCCACGTTAAGATAAACTCACACCAATTGCTTGAACAGAAAGCAGAGTTTGTGAGCACCAGGAAACAGCACTTGGTGTAAGTTAAGATAAAGCAGAGTTTTGGATAACCTCGAGTTTATGGAGGGCAAAGCGTGGCAGACCAGCCAGGACTGTGTTAAATAAATTGAGATTCGAGACGAATGAAGTTTCAGCAGATCATTGAGATACATGAAATTGGTTGATATTCTGGAAGACAAAATAGTTGGTAGTGGCGTGTGCATGATGTCAGAAGCTCAGCCCTGGATCAGATGTGACACTAAGGTGCAAACAGACTGGCTTATTCTCAACCTGTTGCCTGGGAGAGGGATAGAGTTGGTAGCTGGGGAACAGAGTTTGGAGTGGGCACTGACAACAATGGTTTCAAATTTCTCAAGAATTAATTGGTGACCATTTCAGCTGATCCAGTATTGGTTGTGGTCTGACAGTCAGTTAATTCAGTAAGAGTGGAGGAGTTGAGTAAAGTGGTAGCGAGGTAGCAGTGAGTGTCACCAGAGGAAATAATGAAAACTGACACTGATTTCAGTTAGGGTCATAAAGAGGCAGCACATAGATGAGGAATGGGACAGATGCTCGGGTGATGTAACACCAGAGGTGAAAATCATATGTGTGGTTATATTAACATATACACACACTGACACACACACACACACGTACACACACGTACACAGAAACATATGCACACAAACTCTGGTTGACATTTTCTGCTTTGGTGCTTTACACCCAATGGAATCACTGAAAACCTCTGAAAATTATGCTCTCTGTGGGGAAAAGAACACAAACTCCTACAAATAATTTCTGACAAATAACTCCAACCCAAACCTGAGCTGGTAACTGATGAGATTGTCAATGGGACAAAACATTTGTTTTGTTTATTGCACTTTTTTTATTTAATGAAATAGGTTGACTTTATTAATCATAAAAAGTTATAATAAGTCCTATCATAGATTTCTGTGATTTTCGTTTGTTCCTCTCACAGGAACCCTCTGTACATTTTATACTGCATTTGATAGGGGTAATTTTAACATTGGCTGATGGAATAGATAGTTTTAATCAACCTGTTCAGAGTTGATGATGAAGCATCTCTGGAGCAGGGTCGGGACACTCCCTCTGCACCACAAGAGCCCTCAGAAATTTGTCTCAATTCGACAGTTCACACTAGAGCAATAAACCATCTTGACCAATGGTGTAAAATGACCAAAATCCAATTATCCAATTGTTCCATCTGAGCTTGTCAATGGGAATAAGAATTTGGTGTGGCACATAATGGGTGGGCAATTTGATATATATTTTGACACTTTACACATCTCCAATGTTAAAATAACCCAAATCCCTCATGTGGCCATCAGACCAACCACATACACATGTTGTAAACTGGTGGCCAATCATGTGTCTGAAAACAGTGACAAAAACAGAAAATGCACAATGAGCCTGTCAGCTATCCTGAGGAAAGGAAACAAGAATAGCTGGTGTTTCAGAGATAAACCCTTCATCTGTTTACAACTTTGATCTCTCTACCCACGGAAGGATATACTGGACTTGTCTCAGAGGGTGTGCAATGAAAGGCCATTGGACTGATTCCTGATTGCCCTGTGAGAAAGCAATTTAGTAAAAGTGGAGGAACTGTGAGAGGTGATAGTGAGGTAGAGCTGGATGTTACCAGCATATATGTGAAAACTGACTAGGCCTATAATACCAAAACTGTAGAAGAATGAGACGTAATCGCATTGAAGCACATAAAGATCTTAAGGGGAATGACAATGTGGGTGCTGAGAAGATGTTTCTATCAGCTGGGAAGTTTAGTATGGGATCATGGTTTCATGTTAAGGAGGCTGATGCTTCTGGACTGAGATGTGGAGAATTTTCAAAAGATTTGTGAATCATTGGTGTTCTTCACCCCTCAGAAAGCGGTGGATGCTCAGTCATTTTGAAGACTGAGACCAGTAGATGTTTGGATAGTAAGGTAATTAATTGTGGACAGTGTGGGAAAGTTGAGAAGATATAATCCTGCTTTGAGGCAGAACAGGCTCGAGGGACTGAATAACAACTCATGCTCCTATTTTTGCTATTCTTGTCACGTTGAGTTTTTGACCAACTTTAAAGGAATTATAGAAGCACACATTGTTGGTGCTGAGCGAAATTTCGAGAGAGAGCTGGGGCAGAGATCATATGATGTAGAAGGTGAGTGTTGTTCTAGATAACACTGGGTCTATGGCTGTCATTCTCTAAAGCAGATTGGAGAGGAATTTTAGTAGAGTTTGTTCCTCTTTATTCGCTGTGGGTTTTCACTGTGTTTCATGTTTAGCCTAATCCAGAAGGTGGCGAGGTTGGGATAGGGCTGATGGATGAGACTTGTCTGGGTCCAAGGCACTGTTATGGGGCAGGGTTATCTGTTCTTTCACTGTCACTCAGCTTGATTAGCCTCTTACCAGTTGTTTCCAGTGAGAAGCGGATCACGTCTCCTGTGCATTTTCAGTTTTGTTTTCCACCAGTCCTTCCTTTTCCTCTTCAGCTGCCTTAAAACAAGTTTGTGGACAAAACTCACTGAGTATTTCCACTACCCTCCGTCAATGGTTCATGGGTTGCCCACACTGACACGCTGAAGTTTATTCATTCCTTTTAAATAACGTGCAGCTTTAGACACCTATGTTTTTAAACAAAATATTGGGAGTTCTTACTGCATGTGCAAGTTTAATATAAAAATGGAAAGATATACATCTTGTAAAATGATCTTATAAAACTGGTCTTTTGCTGTTAAATCGCTCAAAGCAGTGGAAAATTGCATCCTAAATGAATATCTTCTTTTATTAAAAAAAAACACCCAGAAAATAAGACAATTACACAAAAAGCTAAAATAACTTTAGCGACGCAGGAACACCTCGGATGGTGCAATGATGGTGGTGAGTTTTCTGTTCACATTTTATTTCACTGCCTTTGGCAACCTGTTTTCCAAATCATCCAGCTTTCCTGTCATCTGGGCCAGTGTCCAAGGTCAAGGAAGATTCAATGTTGTCGTCCAGAGGAAAACTGCTGTGGTAGCCGCAGACAATAATGTCAGAGGATGCACAGCACAGAATCAGTCCATTCAACCTGTCCAGTTCATTCATTTCATGGCACATGGGATTCACTGGCAAGATGAACATTTGTTGCCCATCTGTAATTGCCCTAGAATTGGGTTGTTTGCCTGGCCATTTCAGAGGGCAATTAACAGCCAACCACATTGGTGTGGGTTCTGAGTCACAGGTAGGCCAGCCCAGATAAGGACAGATTTTCTTCCCTAAAAGGTTTTGATGATAGTTTCATAGTCATAATCCAGGCTAATGGGATCATTTGCCCAGTCACATAGCCACTATGCTATTGCCCCCGCTGTTAAAATTATTTCTCTGTTAAGTTGTTACAAGATATCCTGTTATTCTAACTTATGATCATGGTCTTCTAGTGGATAAGAAACATTCGCCCTCTAACCTCCTAAGTACAAACTTTTTTAGGTTTTTACATGGTGTGCAAGTGGCTACTGTACTTGGAATTTTAGTTTAGGCTTGCGTTAAGCTTCGTTATCTAACATAGTCTTCTTCTCTGTATCCACACTGCATTAAAACCAAGACTCCTCACTTTATCTCATACCCTAATTCCTTCATGCCTGGAGTACTCCCCATCTCTTAAAAAGTCTACAGTTGGAGATGTGGTTCTGTGATTGGACAACACTTGATAAATAGTCTTAAGTGTGCTAATACATACACAAACAGTTAAAGTGAAGAAAAACAATTGTGCTTATTGTTGATAAGCACATAATAATAAGAGATGCAACATAAGTTTCTTTCCAGGGCCCCAGTCTCTGCAAACAAAAGCAACAAATTCAAGCTTTGCACCTTTTTTGAATTACCCAAAAGCTTGGGGAGTCTGGGGTGCTCCATTACAACACCATGTCCACTCAATGTTGACGTGCCAATCAATAAATCAGCACTCTCTACTGCTGTGGTGTAAATTGTGGTCATTTGAAATGTGGCATTCTTGCATTTGTCCTGATTACGGTGGAATTAAATGCTTTCATAGCATGGGCAGAATTTTATTTTCTCCCACTGACTGGTTTAGTGGTGGTGGGGGTGGAGGGGTTGAGTGGGTAGGTGCGTGTTGAGGGTAGCATGGGAACTGGAAAATTCTTCGGATGCCTTCTCTCCAGCCTCCCATCCATCTTAGCATCTCCTCAATTTTAAAGTGAGACAGGTGAGATCCTGGCCAGCCCATGTACATCTTGAAGCCCTTAAATAAGCACTCAAGACTGGGTGGGTAGGAAATGGCCTTAATTATGAGGCTGGCAGGAGGAGATCAGGGACTGGGGAGGAGAATATTGGGACGGGGTGGTGAATGGGGAAAGACCACAAAGTGGCCCTTCTTTAACCCCTTGAACTCTCCTTCAAAACCATTATGGGTTCATCAACCCTCCTCACACTTACCTAATAGAGCATGGAAATAGACCCTTCAGCCCAACATGTCCATAGCAACCAAGTTTCCGAAACTAAACTAGTCCCACTTGCCTGCATTTACCCTATATCCCTCTAAACCTCTCCTATTCATGTACCTGTCCAAATGTCTTCTAAATATTGTAACTGTACCTGCATTCACCACTTCCTCTGACAGTTCATTCCACATCTAAACCACCCTGTTTGAAAAAGTTGCCCCTCAGATCCCTTTAAAATTTTTCGCCTCTAACCTTAAAAATATGGCCTCTAGCTTTGAACTCTCCCACCCTAGGGAAAAGACCCTTGCAATTCACCTCATCTATGCCCCTTATGATTTTAGAAACCTCGACCTCCTATGCGCCAGTGAAAAACATCCCAGCTTATCCAGCCTCTCCTTATAACTCAAACACTCCAATCCCAGCAACATCCTTGTTAATCTCTTCTGAACCCTGTCCAATTTAATTATATCCTTCCTATAGCGAGGCGACTAGAATTGTAGACAGTACTCAAAAGACTGGCCTCACCAATATCCTGCACAACTGCAACATGATGTCCCAACTCTTTTCCTCAATGGTCTGAGCGATGAAGGCAAGTGTGCTAAACACCTTCTTCCCAGCGGAACTCCGCTGATCACAGGCCTCCAGTCTGAAAAACAGCCTTCCACCACCACCCTGTATCTCCTACTGTCAAGCCAATTTTGTATCCAATTAGCAAGGTCTCCCTGAATCCCATGTGATCTAACTTTACTAACCAGTCTACCATGCGGAACCTTGCCAAGGGCTTTACTAAAGGCCATGTAAACAAAATCTACCACTCTGTCTTCATCCATCTTGAGTTTTTTGACGACGTGACCAATCAAGTTTGTGAGACATAATTTCCCACGTACAAAACCATGCTAACTATCTCTACTCAGTCCTTGCCTTTCCAAATGCATGTAAATCCTATCTCTCAGAATTCCCTACAACAACTTACCCACCACTGATGTCAGACTCACAAGTCTTATTATTCCCAGGCTCCTCCTTGCAGCCTTTCTTAAATAAAGGCACAACATTAGCCACCCTTCAGTCCTCTAGCACCTCACCCATGGCTGTTGATGATACATATATCTCTGATAAGGGCTCCATAACTTTTTTTCCTGGCTTTCCACAACATCCTAGGATACACTGGGCCTGGAAATTTATCCACATGAATTTTTTTTTAAGATATCTGGCACCTCCTCTTCTGTAATGTGGATTGTTTTCAAGACATCAATAATTATTCTCCAAGTTCCTTAGCCTCCATGTCTTTCTCCATAGTAAATACTGATGTAAAATATTTGTTTAGGATCTCTCCAATCTCCTGTGGTTCCACTAAGCTTGAGCTCCTAGGATGAAGGATCTCTGAGGGAATGCTTTCCGTTCTAGAACTGTTCACTGTAGCCTCAGGTACTAGTGGGAATAGGGATATGGAGCTCTCTGAGGTGCTTCTGAGTGAGGGAGATGGTGGGGAACCAGTCAATCATTCCAAAATGGGGAAGACCATCGTCCCTCAAACTCCTGGCCCATGTCCTTCTTTTCAACAATATTCAACTCCTAAACCTGAAGTTTGTCACTCCTTTCAGGCATTTCAAACCTACATGAGCTATTGCTTAAATCATCTCTTCTTGAACTAGTTTATTCCTTCTCCAGCATTTTTGATGTTGGTTACATCTTGCAGCATGGATTCTTCACCTTGTAGTCTCATTAATAAAACACAAAAGTAGCACATTCCATTTGAGCATGACTAATCTCTGTCTCAACTAATTAACTGTCTTGGATCTTAACACTAACTTCACTGCATTGCTGGTTGCCCAGATATCTAGAATGCCATGTGTGATGACAGCAGTAGGAATTGCACAGCAGCCTTCACTCCACGGAGAAAAGGATATGCTTTTGAGAGAATTCTTCTAACAACGATAGTGTGTCTTGTTGGAATGCTACGAGGGTTTCACAAGCACAAGGATCTTTAATCGTCTCCTGCCCAGTCACTTCCTCTAAAAGAAAGAGAAAGAGTTGCCTTTATATAGCATCTTTACCACAACTTCACTATTGTCCCTAAGCGCTTTGCCAGCAATGATGTTCCTTTAGCAGTTGGAGCTGACTTGGTTGTGAAGTTGCGCACAGCAAGATCCCATAACGAGCACAGCTCTATAATGCGTTTGTGTGTTGCCGGTCAAGGGATTGATATTTGTCCACTATAGCTCTTCAGACGGGATCTCTCATGTACACCAGAGACAACAGGCATTCTAAAAATGTTTAAAAGGATAAGTGAAAACAGGTAGCTTCGCTGAATTGGTAAACTTTCATCATTTTTGGGGCTTGAGTTGGGTTGATTAAACATGATCAACATCAGGAGCTGAGCTCCACTCGAAAGTATAATTCAGCAAGTTAAGTGTGTGATCTTATTGGACCCAAAGTTGTGAGTTGATGCGGGCACAATGGGCAACATTGCCCTCTTCCTGTGAAATTCTAGGGTATGAATCTTCCCAGTTATTGAATGAAGTTCCTCATTTATCAGTTTGGACTATATTTGCTGGAATTTAGAAGGATAAAGGACGATCTCATAGAAACCTATAAAATTCTAAGAGGACTGGACAGGGCAAATGCAGGAAGGATTTTTCCTGTGACTAGGGAATCCAGAACCAGGGAGTCACAGGATACAAGGTAGGCCATTTAGGACTGACATGAGGAGAAATGTCTTTACCCAGAGAGTGGTGAGACTGTGGAATTCATTGCTGCAGAAAGCAGTTGAGGCCAAAACATTGAATGTTTTCAGGAAGGAGTTAGATATAGTTCTGAGGGCTAGAGGGATCAAAGGGTATGAGGAGAAAGCGGAACCAGGTTACTGAGTTGGATGATCAGCCCATGATCATATTCAATGGTGGAGCAGACTTGTAGGTCTGAATGGCCTACTCCTGTTTCTTATTGCTATCTGGGAATTTCCTCACTGCAGATACTGCCGCTCTGATACTGTAACTTTACTACTTGTGTGAGATAAATCCCATTCTTGCTGTATTTCTGATTGGAGTTATGGTGACAAGTAGAAACAGCTTGATTAAAGTTGCTGGTCTTGGTTTCTGTGTTCAGACAGGGTAACAGTGAAGGGGTCGGGAGAAAAACAAAATGAAGGCAATAGATAAGAAGATTGAGGGAACACCAGGCTAATTGTTTAGCAACATTTCAGTAAAGATTCAGGAATTAACAAAGTAAAAAAAAAAGGAATACTCAAGTATTTTCCTCCCTCCCACTTTAACCAACAGTCCTAATTTACATAAAAACAGAAAGTGCTGGAGAAACGGAGAGAGAAACTGGGTGTGCATTTTGAGTCTGCTATGACTGTTCAAAGTCACATGCAATTTGTAGTGCTAACTTAGTTTCTCTCTCCACAGATGCTGCCAGACCTGCTGAGTTTCTCCAGCACTTTCTATTCTTATTTCAGATTTCCAGCACCCACAGTCCTTTTTTTGTTTCTGATGTACTCAAAGATGTGATGGTCAGGAAGAGATCAATTGGTTCATTAAGCCATCAGAGCATAAGGATTTAAAGCTTCACTTGTTTAGTTACTGAAACAAATGAAACGTCACAGCGACGTACCCTCACAAATGTTCACTTTTAGATTCTCAGCGATTTGATCGATGATGTTAAAATCTGAAGCGTAGAAGAAGTGTTGATCCACTGGTTCTGAGGCAATTTCTTGCAGTTCATCCTCCACCGCCTTACCGACACCAACAGCATACATGGTGATCCCTGCAATAGTGAGTAACAACAGGGAATGCGTCCATTCATTAAACACAGGCTAAGAGACTGAGGCAACAAAGCCCATTGGATGTCTAATAAGAGCAAGTCTATACATTTGCAGGTGTCTCTTTCTTCAGGTATAGGTATTTATTTTATCCTTTTATGGGACGTGGGTGCCACTGGCAAGGCTGGTATTTATTGTTCACCCCTAAGTGGCCCATACTGAGATCAAATTGAAGTCATAAGAATATAGGAAATATGAGTAGGAGTAGGCCATCTGGCCCGTTCAATATGCCATTCAATAAGATCATGGTTGATCTTCTCATGGACTCAGTCTACTTTAACCACCTGCTCACCATAACCCTTAATTCCTTTGCTGTTCAAAAATCTATCCATCTTTGCCTTAAAAACATTCAACGAGGTAGCCTCAACTGCTTCACTGGGAAGGGAACTCCACAGATTCATAACCCTGTGGGTGAAGAAGTTCCTCCTCAACTCTGTCATAAATATGCTCCCCCTGGAGATATGTCCCCTAGTTCTAGTTTCACCCGTCAACAGAAACACACTCCCTGCTTCTTTCTTGTCTAGTTCCTTCATAACTCTATATGTTTCTGTAAGATCCCCCCTCATTCTTCTAAATTCCAATGAGTGTAGTCCCAGTCTACTCTCAGTCTAAGCCAACCCTCTCAACTCTGGAATCAACCTAGTGAACCTCCTCTGCACCCTCTCCAGTGTTAATGCATCCTTTCCCAAGTAAGGAGACCAAAACTGCACGCAGTACTCCAGGTGTGGCCTCACCAGCATCCTATACAGCTGCAGCATAACCTCCCTGTTTTAAACTCTATCCCTCTAACAATGAAGGACAATATTCCATTTGCCTTCTTAATTACCTGTTGCACCTGCAAACCAATTTTTTGTGATTCATGCACAAGGACACCTGGGTGTCTCTGCGCAGCAGCATGCTGCAATTTTTCACCACTTAAATAATAGTCCTTTTTGCTGTAATTCCTACCAAACTGGTTGACCTCACGTTTACCAACGTTGTATGCCATCTGCCAGACCCTTCCCCACTCACTTAACCTATCTATATCCCTCTGCAGGCTTTCAGTGTCCTCTGCACACTTCGGTCTAACACTCATCTTAGTGTCATGTGTGAACTTTGACAAACTACACTTGGCCCTAAACTCTAAATCATCTATGTTAATTGTAAACAATTGCGGTCCCAACACTGATCCCCAAGGCACACCACTAGCCACTGATTGCCAACCAGAAAAACACTCATTTATCCCCACTCTTTGTTTTCTGTTAGTTGACCTATCTTCTATCCATGCTAATACATAACCAGTAATGCAGTGCACCTTTATCTTATGCAACAATTCCCCAAATCCCCAAAAAGCAACCAATAACTATCTTACTCGCCACTTCTTTAATGACCCTGAGGATGAAGTCCATCAGGACCCGAGCACTTGTCAGCCCACAGCTCCAACAATTTATTCAGTCCTAATTCTCTGGTGACTGCATTTTTCCTGAGTTTGTCCCTTGACTTCTATTTTCTGACTTATCACTGCTGACGGAGTGTTACTCGTATGATCTATTGTGAAAACCGAAGCAAAATCCCTGTTCAGTTCATCTGCCAATTCCATATTTCTCAATAATAATTCCCCAGACTCAGATTCTATACAAGCATCGTGAATTTTGACAAACTCTTCTCCTTTTTGTGTACATAGTATATCTTACCATCAGTTGGTATTTTTCTAGCTAGCTTTTTCTCATACTCTAACTTTTCTTTCTTTGTTAACTTTTTATTCGATCTTTGCTTTTATTGTATATTCTGTCCAATCTTTAGTTTTGCCGCCCATCTTTACTCAATCGTATGCTTTATCTTTAAGTTTATACTATTGTTAACTTTTTTGTTAGCCACAGCTGTTAGGTCCACCCTTGGATTTTTTGTCCCCTTTTTTGTTGTTGGAATGTACTTATTCTGTATTTCTCAAATATCTTCTTAAATGTCTGGCACTGCATATCTATTGACCCATCCCCAATCTAATTTCCTAGTTTATATTAGCTTGCTCTACCCTCATAGTTACTTTAACTTCCATTAAAATACTTGTCTTGCACCCACTACTCTGACCTGCTGTATTGGATGTTATACTGCCATTAGCCACACCAGTCATATGCCTGGCTGTGACGAAACTTATCAACTCAAGGGTTAAAAATTCCACCTCTGTGATCTTTCACCATAAGTACAATGTCCCACACTGCTAAGAAATTAAGTTCCTGCCCATCACCCATTGACTGTGCTGGGATTGGACTGAATCATCATAAAAGGGAATAGGATTTCTCTGGAGTGCCACAAAGGAATGTGGGGCTGGTCACAGAGTACGATGTAACCATTTCCATGGCACTTGGAAAGCTCTCCCATTTTCCAATATAGCCAATCTGCCCCATGTGTTGTGAAATTTCACGGTATAAAAGTTGAGTGTTTCCTTTCAGAAAGGAGCAGTAAATTAACACAATTTATGCATGAATCGAAGATACTGGCTCTTGGTGAACTTCTCTGTTTTATTCTAAAGTGAGCCCTTGTTTTAAATATAACCTCTAACCTGACGTGACCTTCCTGAAACCCTCACCCAACATGTACGTGCTCCAATGTCCTCTTATTTTATTGGTTCTCATCTATGAAATAGGTTTGGTGGTTGTAATATCGATTGAGGGATCTCAGAATAGAGGAATATTGGCCCATTCCTGCTCCTTTTAGCCCATCAAGACATTCCGGACCCAAATGCTATACTTTCATGCTATCCCCACATCTCTTGATATTGTTGGTAACTAGAAAACTATCATTCTCTGTCTTGTGGTGGGAAGTTCAATTTTAACCCTTTGACAACAAGTTGAAGATACCTCACTTTTTCCATTTGCTACAAGATGTTTCTCTGTCTATAGGATTTACAGCCAGGGACAGAGTCTCAGAACAAAAAGCAACGACTAAGATAAGGAAGAATTTTTTCACTATCAAGTGCTGAATCTCTATAATTCTCTACCCAAAGGGCAATGGAGGCTCAGTCATTAAGTAAATTCAAAATGGGATGGGGTAGTCTGATCTTTTTCGATTGGCATGGATACAATAGGCAGTACAGCTGACTTCACCACTGTATATGAATCTGTGTGTCATGGGTTCAAACATGCTCTAGAGACGTGAGGGTCTCAAAATTGTGGTTGACGTTCCCAGTGTATTTCCAAGGGGGTGATGCACTGTCACAGGTACCATCATTTAGACGGAAAATGGAGCCAAGGCCTCACCTACCCTCTCAGGTGAGTGAAAAAGATCCCATACAGCACCTTGGCTAGGGAGCCAATAGATCTACAAGCTCTGGGGCAATGAACCAACTGGATTTGGTTTGAGTGATATCCAGAAGATTTTTGGGGAGAGGATAAGCTGACAAAATTTGTCACAAACTCCTCATTTGTAACTAGATACTTTTCCAGATGGACAAGACTGGGCTGCATCTTACCAGCGTCTTTGGCCTTTTTGGCCCACTCGGTGATGCTGTCTTGAGAACGGCCATCAGTGAATACAATGCCTACCCTGGGCAGGCTCTGAGACCCAGGCCTGGCACCTCCTGCTTCAGTGAAGACGTTCTCCACCATGTGTTTGAGAGCGAGTCCAGTCATGGTGCCCTTCTCCATGTACACCACATTGTTCACCGCCTTCTTCACAGCCACAGCGGATGTGTGCACACCCAGCGGAATCTCAGTGCGCACACGGCTGGAATACTGCACCAAGCCAACACGGGTCCCCTGGCTGGAGATATCCAAGGCATCTACAATGTTGTTCACAAACTTCTTCACCAGTTCAAAGTTCTCGGGTCGCACACTTTTGGAACCATCAATGACAAAGACCAGGTCAATGTTTGCCTTACTGCATCCTATTAAAAAAAATAAGCAATTGCACTAATATCAAGAAATGGTTAGGAAGTGGGGAAGGGATCACCTGAAAGACTCAACAGTTAGAGCACCACCTGGCATAGTCAGAGGACTGGGTTGGCACTCGGTTAGTAGGTGTCCTCTAAACAAGGGTATGAACTTTTAGGTTAATGAAATGGGAATTTGGCTTCAGCTCCTGACCTTTGGACTATTCTGGAAAATACAATTTGAGATAGAATGGGGATGAATGTTTGTGTTTGTGGCCAGGGTGCAATGTCAGAGGATATTAACGTCCTTTACAGACCTGACTAACATACACTCGGTTGTTGTACCGTATGTAGTGCTCTCTCCTCAGTTCCGTAAGGTTATAGGTTCAAATTCTGTTTAAGGGACCTGAGCACAAAATCAATGCTGACACCTAAATGCAGTGAGGTTCGGACCCTTTTCAGACGAGACATTAATCAAAGCTGTGTTACATGGGCACTATTTTTAGTCAATTTGTTCAGAGATGTTAATACACACCTCTGGGGCAATTCGGACCTGAATCCAGGCCATTTGGCTCAAAGGGAGGGACACTACCACTGTGCCACAAGAATCTTGGGCACTACCTCTAAGCAGAGAAATTGTGCTGGCCAATGGTAATCCCTTAATTGCCATCACTAAAAACAAATTATCTGCCTCTCATCAGGTTATTCTTTCTAGGATCTTCCTGTGCATCAATTGGCTGCCATGTTTCCTGCACTACATTACTGACTACATTTTTAAGGTGAGATTTAAAAAAGAGATGGGGCAATTTTTTTACTCAGAGGTGGTTTGCATGTGGAATGAACTTTTTGAAGAAGTGGTGGATGTGGGTACAATTACAACGTTTAAAAGACAATTGGATGTATATATGAATAGAAACAATTTGGAGGGATATGGGCCAGGAGCAGGCAGGTGGGACTAGTTTAGTTTGGGATTATGTTTGGCATGGACTGGTTGGACCGAAGGGTCTGTTTCCGTGCTGTATGACTCTGACTCTACGACTCTATTTCAAAGGTAGTACTTTTCCTGTAAAGCACTTTGGGACATGATGGAAGGCATTAATGAAAGTCCTTTCTTTCTTCAGAAGGAACGGGGTGATGACAAAGTCTATAGTGAATGTGTGATCTGGGTTAGAGATGAGTATTTACCTACACTGAATCTTGTTGGGATCCTTCCACCTTCAGGCAGTCTGTTGACAATTGCCCTTATCAATGGAATCAGAATGGGCACATGGGCACGCACTCTTAGTGAATGAAGGAGAAAATTGGGAAATCATTTAAGATCAAACTGGCTTAAGCTCTTCTACTGATTCATTGATGATCGGAGAGGGACATTATCAGTAAAAATCTACAGTGATCGTCTAGTAGAGTGCCTACCTCTGGGTCAGAAGCTCTGGGATCAAGTGCATGCTTGGACATGTTGACCTTGAAAGGTGTGATAGGGGATTATAAAACCATGAGGGGCATGAATAGGGTGAACAGCCAAGGTCTTTTCCTAGGATGGGGGAGTTCAAAACTTAGAGGGCATAGGTTTAAGGTGAGGGGCTAAAGATTTAAAAAGGACCTAAGGGGCAACCTTTTCATGCAGAGAGTGGTGCGTGTGTGGAATGAGCTGCCAGAGGAAGTGGAGGAGGCTAGTATAATTACAACATTTAAAAGGCATCTGGATGGGTACATCAATAGGAAGGGTTGAGAGGGATATGGGCCAAATGCTGGCAAATGGGATTAGGTCAGATTTGGATGTCTGGTCATCGAACATAGAACATAGAACAGTACAGCACAGTACAGGCCCTTGGCCCACGATGTTGTGCCGAACTTTTACCCTAAACCTAAGGTCTATCTAACCTTCACCCCTACTTTATACTATCATCCATATGCCGATCTAATAGCCGCTTAAATGCCCCAAATGAGGCCGACTCCACTACCCGCTCCGGCAATGCATTCCACTGGTCAGCACGGACAAGTTGGACCGAAGGGTCTGTTTCTGTGCAGTATGACTCTATGAGTGCTCATGAAGTGGATCAATGGGTTAACTAACCTGCAAATCCTCCAGCTCTTCCAGTGTTCCCCAAAAGGAAAAACATGTGTGTGAAAACACAGAAAACTGGTAGTAGAAGGATCAAGAATGAAAGAAGACTAAAGTAATTGGCAAAAGATGTAATGGAGACCTTTTCATGCAGCAAGTGTTTAGGATCTGGAGTGCGCTGCCTGAGATGAGTTGGAGATCAGTTCAGTCAAGGCTTTCAAGTGAGTGTTGGATTACTATCTGATAAGGAAGAAACTACAGGATTACAGGGTGAAGCTGGGGGAGCAGTTTTCCCTCTAATTTTCTCTCTGGTGTGTGGGCTTCTGAAGTACATGTGCAGCAGAGACTTCCAGTACAGGGGTGGCAGAGTGGCTCAGTGGTTAGCACTACTACCTCACAGCGCCAGGGATCCAGGTTCAATTCCACCCTTGGGTGTGACTGTCTGTGTGGAGTTTGCACATTCTCCTTGTGTCTGTATGGGTTTCCTCCGGTTTCCTCCCACAGTTTAAAGATTTTCAGGCTAGGTGGTTTGGCCATGCTAAATTGCCCACAGTGTGCAGGCTCAGTGGGTTAGTCATGGGAATTACAGGATTACAGAGAGAAGGTGGGGGGTTCAGTCTGGAGACTCAGTGTGGACTTGTTGGGCTAAGGGGCCTGTTTCCACACTGTAGGGATTCTATTCTATGAAATTCTACCTTATTCTAAATCAATGCTGTGAGCTGATCACCACATGGAGAACTTTGGAGCAGCTACATGCAGGCAGTGCTATTAGCTACATTGGCCTTTCATGTGCTACCTTCTTGTATTATGATCAGGGAGAAAGGGTTTCGGTAACAGACCACTTTTCAGAGACTCGAGAAGCTACAGACATAAAACATTAGCTCTGATTCTCTCTCTTCACAGTCACTGCCTGACCTGAGCATTTGCAGCATTTTCTGTACATTTTAAATCATTAGATAAGTTGAAAACGCTAATGGAGAGTTTTAATAGAGCTGTACAAAATTTTGAGAAGTTTGGACAGGATAGATAGGGGAGAAAGTGTTTCCACTAGCAAGGGGTTTGGTAATTGGGAACACAGATTTACGTGCTGGGGTGAGATGATGAAAAGTTTCATAGATACAGTGATAACAAAGTGTAGAGCTGGATGAACACAGCAGGCCAAGCAGCATCAGAGGAGCAGGAAAGTTGACGTTTCGGGTCTGGACGCTTCTTCAGAAAAATAGATGCAGTGAGTGTGATTTTGGATTTGATGGGAGCAGATTCAATATTAATTTCTAATGGGAAACTGGGTTTATGTCTTTAAAGCAAACATGTGCAGTGCTTTGGGAAAAGAATAGGTAGAACATGTTTAATTGAATAGTTCTTTCAGATAACCGGCATAGGCATGATGGAATGAACAGCCTCCTGCTGGGCTATGTTCACAGTCCAGCAGACCATGCACTGAAAACAGATGCTAGTGCAGACAGGAATAGAACTCACTGTTACAGGTCTTCCCATCCTCATTGAGTTGCCTCCCTGCAGGGCAGATGCAGAAGTATGACCCAGGGGTGCTGACACACTCGAACTCACACCCATGTTCCACCGTGTTACACATGTCAACAGCTGCAATGCAAGAGAATGCTCACTTTAAGAAACGACCTAAATGACATACCACCATTTTGCCAGGAGTCTGAATGGGGTTATACCATTCCACTGGCCCAGGAGCACTCATGACTTATGGGAGCTGTTTTTATTTAAACGTGACCCTTGCCTGATCTGTTGCTCCAAGTAACATCTTCTTCACTCGTGGGATGTGAACATCACTAACATGGCCAGTATTTATTGCCCTCCTCCAATCACCATTGAGAAAATGGTGGTGGGCTGCCTTCTTGGCCTGCTGCGATACAAGTGGTGTAAACCCAACAGTGTTTACACACGCACACACTCTCACACTCTGTAACAGTTTAATCTATCCGAGTGGCTTGGAAGGCCATTTCAGATGACAGTTAAGAGTTAACAACTTTGCAATGTCATGTATAGACCAGGAGATTTGCTCCCTAAGGGCATTCGTGAACCAGATGTGTACTTACAATGATCCAATAGCTTCATGAATGTTATTACTTAACTTGCAACTTATTCTCTTTCTTTTTAAAAGTTTAAGTTAAATTTCCATATGCCTGCATGAGGATTTGAACTCTGGAACAATAGCCCAGTCTTCTAAATTACCATCCCAGTGACATTGCCATCATCACCCTAAATTACAACAGTGTCCCAAAGCACTTCAATAGCATTTCATTGACTGTGATGTGCTGTGAGACATTTTACAGGCCACTAGATAAATCAGAGTTCCTTTACATCTTCCTTCAAGCTGTACAAGTAACATTTGCAACTGGACAATATCCAGGCTTACAAAACAGAAATTGCTGGAAAAGTTCAGCAGGTCTGGCAGCATCTGTGAAGGAAAACAGAGTTAACATTCCGGGTCCGGTGACCCTTCCTCAGAACCGGATCCAAAACGTTAACTCTGTTTTTTCCTTCACAGATGCTGCCAGACCTGCTGAGCTTTTCCAGCAATTTCTGCTTTGTTTCCTAATTTACAGCATCCGCAGTTCTTTCGTTTTTTTATTTAATATCCAGGCTTGGGTTGACAAATGGCAAGTAACATTCATGCCACAAAAATCTTGGGGAATGACCATCTCCAATAACAGGCAAACTAACCACTGCCCCTTGACATTTATGGTGTTACCATCACTGACTCCCCCATTATCAACATCCTGGGGATACCATTGAACAGAAACTCAACTGGACCCACCATATAACTACAGTATTTACAAGAACAGGTCAGAAGGCAGGAATACTACGGTGAGTAACTGACCTCCTGACTCCCCAAAGCCTGTCCACCGTCTACACGTAGAAAGTCAGGAGTATGCTGGAATACTCCCCACTTGCCTGGATGAGTGCAGCTCCAACAACACTCAAGAAGTTTGACACCATCCAGGACAAAGCAGCTCGCTTGATTGGTACTACATCCACAAGTATCCACTCCCTCCATCACCAATACCCAGCAGCAGCAATCAATACTACTACAAAATGCACTGCAGAAATTTACCAAAGGTCATTAGCACATACCCATGATCACTTCCATCAAGAAGGACAAGGTCATTAGATATATGGGAACGCCACTACCTGCAAGTTCCCCTCCAAGACCCTCGCCATCCTGACTTGGACTTATATTCCATTCCTTCACTGCTGCTGGGCCAAAATCCTGGAATTCCCTACCTAAGGGCATTGTAGGCCAACCTACAGCACACAGACTGCAGCGGTTCAAAAAGGCAACTCACCACCACCTTCTCAAGGGCAACTAGGGACAGGCAATAAATGCTGGCCCAGCCAGCAATGCCTGCATCCCACAAGAGAACTAAAAAAGAAACTGTATATTGAGTCATAAGGGAATTAAATAAATACTTGAAGGGTAAAGCTTACATGACTGCACGGAAAGAATGGTTGGCATTTATTTAATTGGATAATACAATCAAAGAGCCAGCACAGGCAAAGTGGCCTCCAACAGTCCTGGATTATCCTAGAATTTATTTCATTCTCTTTTGAAGAGTGCCCTTGAATCTTCTTCAATTGACTGAAATAGTTCAGGACAGATGGGCAGGTACAAAAAAAATGATTCAAGGAAAACCAGAGAGGTGTTTTGAATTTTGGAATGACTTGTGTTACCATTAGTGCTATGGATTCATCCTGTTGCTTATGTTTACCTTTACATGTTTTCCCATCATCCTGCAGTTCAAATCCATCCTGGCACGTGCAGTAGTATCCATTCAGAATGCTGACACATTCATGTTGGCAGCTGTGGTTCCCAAATGAACAATAGTTCACCACTGTAGAGAAAGGTCCCACACATTTTAACTTTAATACCATTATCAGTCTATAGATGTGCTCCCATTGGTGACGAGCAGATTCAAGGGGCTGAATGGCCTGTTCCTATCATTCTAAGTAGGGTTGGAATGATCCCAGTCCACTAAATCTATATGCACTGTTAAAAGAAAGAAATTGGACGTAAGGATGTTCAAAGTCAACGCCAGGCATTATTCAGTTAACAGTGAAGAAATGCTTTTCTAAGTTTGAGAACCTGAGTCAATGAATTTAATCACTTCAGTAAAGTGTCTTGGGGGAGTTTAATGGCATTGTCAATGTACATTGTTGTTGTTGTTGAAGCCCTTGGAGGACTAGACTTTGTGCCTCACACCAGGAATAATATAAATGGGATTTAAATGAACAGCTGGATCAGAATGAGAGGTTATCTGTCACATTAAATTTGGCTTCTTCAGCTCCTCACTAAGGGTAATGGATCAACAAGTTTATCCTGAGACTCATTATCTCTAGAGGAGAAGGGTAGAACCTTGCCAGTGAATGCCAACAGTTGCCCAAGAAAGTTTGACATGCACTGAACTTGCCTTCTGCTTCAAGCATCAGAATAAATCACAGCAAAAGATCCCACCTATTACAGAGAAGTGAAGGTTCACTACTCACTGGTACAGGTCTTCTTGTCCTGGTTGAGGGTGTATCCTGGTCGGCAACGGCACTTATATGACCCAGGGGTGCTCACGCAGATGTGCTCACAGCCGTGATCTCCCAGGGAGCAGAGGTTGATGGCTAGAGAGGGAGGAAGATTGTAATTTGCTCAGGCGTTATCACAAAAGGGGCACAGAAGTTCAGAAGGCAGTCTTGTAATTGAGACAGCAGTGTGGAGCTGGAGGAGCACAGCGGGCCAGGCAGCATCAAAGGAGCAGAAAAGTTGTCATTTCAGGTTGGGACCCTTCTTCAGAAACCTGTCTGTTTAAGTTCCAATCCAGAAAATCTAGGCTGACGCTCCCACTGCAGTACTGAGGGAGTGCTGCACAGATGGAGGTCCTGTCTCTCTGGTGAGACATTCTTCTGCTTATTGCTTTCACATGGACGAAAACTATCCCCTGGCAATAATTTGAAGGTGAGAAGGGCTCATCATGATATCCTGGCTAATATTTATCTCTCACTCAACATCACAAAAACAGATAATCTGGTCATCGGTGTTGTGGGACCTTGCTGGGTGCTAATTTGTTGCTGTGTTTGGCTGCTGCATTTTCTAAATTACAATACATACTACCTCAAAAGTACTTAATTGACTATAAAGCATTTTTGGAGCTCTTGTAAAGTCACATATCTTTCTTTTTCAAAGTAGCTCCTAAAAATCTCTATCTTTGGTCGAGTGTTTGGCCACCTGTTCTAAATCTCCAGTGAAGTCTTGTGAGGATTACTAAATTTAAAGGCACTGTATAAATGCAAGTTATCATTGCTGTACACTGTTGAATTTAAGACTGAAGATCGTAGGTTCGAATCCACTCCAAGACAAAAATCTGAGCTGACCCTCTGCTGCAAGTCAGGGAGGAGTGCTGACATGTTGGAGGTGCCACCTTTCAGTTGAGATGTTGGGCCTTAATTTCAACCTCCTAGGTTGACATCATCATTACTGGATAGGCAAAAAAGATTTGTGTGACTTAGAATAATTTTAAAATTTGTATGTGCGGAGAGTGGCATTAAAAACCAATTGAATGACTTAAAAGCCTCAAACAAATGACAGGAATGGAGGGTTTGAGTTATAAGGAGAGGCTGGATAGGCTGGGACTTTTTTCACTGGAGTAAAGGAGATTGAGAGGAGACCTTATAGAGGTTTATAAAGTTATGGAGGATGTAGATAAAGTGAATGGCAGGTGTCTTTTTCCTATGGTGGGGGATTTCAGGATGAACGTATATATTTTTAAGGTGAGAGGAGAAAGATATTAAAAAAAAAAGACATGAGGGGCAATTGTTTTTTTTTACACAGAGCATGGTTTGTGTGTGTAATGAACTTCCAGAGGAAGTGGTGGATGTGGGTACAGTTGCAACATATAAAAGACATTTGGGTAAGGACATGAATAGGAAAGGGTTGGTTGGATATGGGCCAAACGTAGGCAGGTGGGACTAGTTTAGTTTGGGATTATGGTCGGCATGGACTGGTTGGACCAAAGATTCTGTTTCCATGTTATATGATGCTATGAAGGGAAAATTGTCATTGGCCAATGAAGCCTGTTAATACCCAATATACCTGTAATAACCAGTTCTGAGGAAGGCCCACTGGACCCGAAGCGTTAACTCCATTTTTTCCTTCACAGATGCTGCCAGACCTGTTGAGCTTCTCCAGCAACTTTGTTTTTGTTACCTGTAATAACTGCTGGAGAGTTGCACCCAAAGATGAGATGGGTACCGAAGCAGCAGGAAGTGCCTGCCAACTGGTAGAAACAAACAATAGGATTTGGGGCACCTCTAGCCCCTCCAGTATTGAGTAATTTTCAATCTACAACTTTGGGTGAGAATGATATTACAGATCAATGAATACTAACCGGAGCAAGTCTTCTTGTCCTGATTAAGAGTGTACCCAGGTCGACAGCGGCAGTGGTAGGACCCAGGCGTACTTACACAGATATGTTCACAGCCATGATCTCCCAGGGCACAGTGGTTGACAGCTACAGGATAAAAGGACCAATAGTTTAGAATATGTGCTGACATCAAGGATAGGTAGCACTTGCTTGCTTTGTGTAGCTTTTCATCTCACTGATTTCCTTAAAGGATTTCAAAAGGAAATTTGATGGACACCGAATGGAAACAAATTTGCCTGGTGTTGAGTGGGGGAGTGACAGGACTGTTGTAAAAACTGCCAGTATTGACTCAATGGGCTGAATGGCTTCCTTCTGTTCTGTAATGACTGTATTGATTTTTGCAGAAATCTCCAGAGCTTTTCAAAAACTTCAGGCGAGATCCAAATACAGCATTCTCACTTCTTACAGATCCAGTCTTAGGGAATGGAAAGTGTGGGGGTTGGGGGACGGTGAGGGGGAGCAAGGCATGATTCGAGAATAAGTGGGCTCCAGATTGAACAGGACCATTGGAACTCTGGGCTGACTTCAAACAAACCTTATTTTAAGGTTGCTATGGCTTTACAGAGTAGATGGAAATGCTCTTGGAGTGTGAATAAGGTCTGTTTAACTGTTATGATATGAAGTTATTTAAAACTTCACTCCTTTGTTGTCTTTAGAACAGAATGTTCAAAGCTTTAAGTTGAGAAGAATCCAGAGTTCAGTCCAGACAATAGTATAGTTTCTTCCAGCAGAGGAACCAAGTTTTCCTGGTTCCGTTCAGCGGAATCAGCAACTTCAGCAGAAGTTTTTCTACTCTGTGAACCTTCCAAGCCAGGAGAAGTTTGCCTCAAAATCTTCAAGTTGTTAAAGTACATTTAGGACATTAGAATTGTAAAAGGATTATGCCATTGGAGTGGAATCATAAATTGTCTCCACTGTTCAAGGGAAATAAATTGAACAGCTTCAGTTAAGTAAAGCTGAAACAGGAGTGTTTATTTGTCTGGGATTTAGTAACCGTAATGGAATGGTGTTGGGAATCAGGTTGAAACTTTGTTTTAATCTATGTGTTAAGATCTTTCTAACTATTATATATACTTCCGTTTATTTGTATTTTTTAAATAAACTCACCATTCTGTTGTTTAGCAAACATTTGCAATTTTATGTGAAAATACCTCATTGTCTATGCACTGCATGAACCAACTTAAAATATGTTATTTATCAAGTTATATTTCATTCTGGGATCTCATTTGTCAAACATTATCTTCAGCTGGGATCAAAACAGGATGCACAGTATTAAGAACAGATAGGATTAAAATACTAACCACTACAAGTCTTCTTGTCTGGGTTCAGTCTGAAGCCCTCATGACAACCGCACTTGCATGAGCCTGGAGAGCTGATGCATATCTGCTCACAGTCATGGTCTCCATAGGAACAGAGGTCAATGGCTATGGAGGAATACACATTCACAGGCCAAAACAATCTAGAAATTTCTACCACTATGCTCTTTTCTCACTCCCACCGTTACAATTCTTATTTTAATCACTACGTTTTCCAAGTCTGTCCTGTAAACAGTTCAGGGCACTACAGAGAACTGAGCTTTGGGCTAGTTGTTGGCTCAGGATTTCTTGCCCCTGTGTTTTCTATCTGCCTCAGATACATAGAGAAGGAGGCTGAATGTTTTTGTTATTTGGTCACACCAGTGTCAGCGATCATGGGTAAGATTCTCCCAATGCTCAGGATCAATGTCAAAATGTCTAGTTGAACCCTTCAGAGTGTCCTTGTCGTGCTGCCTTTGAACGTCATGCGAGTGCACCACAGACTCAAGTTCCTCATAGAAAATTTTAACAAAGTGGAGTTGCAGGTAGACAGAGTGGTGAACGTGGCGTCTGGCATGCCTGCCTTCACTGGTCAGTGTGTTGAGTACAGGTGTTGGGATGTCATGTTGCAGTTTTACAGGACATGGGTGAGGCCACTTTTTGAATACTGCGTACAATTCTGGTCTCCCTGCTATAGGGAGGATGTTGTTAAACTTGAAGGGGTTCAGGAAAGATTTACAAGGATGTTGCCAGGGTTGGAAATTTTGGGCTATAGGGAGAGGCTGAATAGGCTGGGGCTATTTTCCCTGGAGCATTGGAGGCTGAGGGGTGACCTTATAGAGGCTTATAAGATCATGAGGGGCTTGGATAGGGTGAACAGCCAAGGTCTTTTCCCTGGGGTAGGGGAGTCCAAAGCTGGGGTGGAGGGGATAGGTTTAAGGTGAGGGGGGAAAGAGTTAAAAAGGAACTGATGGGCAACTTTCTCACACAGAGGGTGATGCGTGTATGGAACGAGCTGCCAGAGGAAGTGGTGGAGGTGAGTACAATTGCAACATTTAAAAGGCATCTGGACAGATATATGAATAGGAAAAGTTTAGAAGGATATGGGTTAAACACAGGCAAATGGGACTAGATTAGTTTAGGATATCAGGTCAGCACGGACCAGTTGGATCAAAGGGTCTGTTTCCACGCTGTACAACTCTATGACTCTATTTGCTTTTTGAAATGAGTGCAGCATTCTGGCTACAAGAACTTCACAACTCAGTCACGGCAGTTTCAATTTAATTTGGATACTTGGATTCCATGCCTTTCATTTCTGTAACTTGCAACCGGCTTGTTAACAGCTGAAGAAGCATTTTATTATCAGTTTATAACCTCTCGAAATAAAATATCACCCGAGTGTACCTGTGCATGTCTTCTTGTCTGGGTTCAGCACATAACCCTCACGGCACGCACAGCGGAAGGATCCAGGTGTGCTGATACAGATTTGCTCACAACCATGATTTACATTAGCACACAGGTCCTGAGCTGGAAGGAAAAGGACTCAAGTCAAAATTGAATTTGGGTTACTAGCAAAATGAGTGAATAAGAAGTGTTGAAGTTTCAAGAGTTTTGTGCAAGGTAACACATAACTATGGGTCTCAAGAAGACCAGTGTGCATTATACACAAATGAACAATGTTCCCCTAATTTATTTCAATCCTGCACAGAATGCTTGTGAATTCTAGGTACAGTATGTTTAAAAGGAAGTGGCAATCTTACTTTGGAGCATGGCCGAGTGTGTGCAGGGTATCCCAGTGACTGTATTAGACACAACGTACAAGGAATGTTATTGGTGAACAAAGGACTTGAATTCTTATAGACTGGTATAGGCAAATGTAATGTTGGCATTTATTTTGAGCGGACTTGAATATAAAAGCAGGGATATACTACTGAGGCTTTATAAGGCTCTGGTCAGGCCACATTTGGAGTACTGTGTGCAGTTTTGGGCCCCTTATCTCAGGAAGGATGTACTGGCCCTGGAGCGGGTTCAGAAGAGGTTCACGAGAATGGTCCCAGGAATGAAAAGCTTAACATATGAGGAACATTTGAGGACTCTGGTTCTATACTCATTGGAGTTTAGAAGGATGAGGGGGGATCTAACTGAAACTTACAGAATACTGAATAACCTGCACAGAGTGGACGTTGGGAAGATGCTTCCATTGGTAGGTGAGACTAGGACCCGAGGGCACAGACTTAGAGTAAAGGGAACACCTTTTAGAACGGAGAAAAGGAGAAACTTCTTCAGCCAGAGAGTGGTGAATCTATGGAATTCAGTGCCATAGAAGGCTGTGGAGGCCAGGTCATTGAGTACATTTAAGACTGAGATAGATAGGTTCTTGATTATCAAGGGGATCAAGGGTTATGGGGAGAAAATGGGAGAATGGAGTTGAGGAACTTATCAGCCATGATTGAATGGTGGAGTAGACTTAATGGGCTGAATCGCCTAATTTCTGCTCCTATGTCTTATGGTCTTATGGTTAATACACAGCTTGAGGTATTAGTCAGGTACAATTGCTGGTCATTATGTAGCAAAATGTCTTATACAAGGGCAGCAATTACATGGGAACACCACCACCTCCAAGTTCCCCTCCAAGCCACTCACCACCTGACTTGAAAATATACCACCGTACCTTCAGTGTTGCTGGGTCAAAATCCTGGAATTCTCTCCCTAGTGGCAGTGTGGCTATATCTGCACCACATGGACTGTAGCAGTTCAGGAAGGAAGTTCACCACCACCTTCTCAGAGGTAACTACAGGCAGGCGATAAATGCTGGCCTGGCCGGCAACACCCACATTTCAGAAGTGAATTTTCAAAAAATACTAAATAGAGTGTCAAATACAGGTTAATATTACAGCTAGGGTTTTGCTGAAACAAGACAGATTTTGTCAAAGTTTGAGAGCATTCTCCATGGCAACTTCTACTTACCAACCAATTAATGCTCCTCTATCATACAGTATAGATATTAGTTTCCCTTCACATTGGTGATCTTGCAAATTGTCCTGACGAGTACAAAATGTAAAGCTTTGAGAAGATGTATCTTTTTTCAGCACTACTTGAGTTCTGGACAACCAAACAACTATCAATGCAGCTTAGGATCAACCAGTGACTTAAGATAAATGGCACAAGAAGCATTGGCAACATGAGGGAAAACATTTTTATGATCTCAATTGCTTAGGAACTGGAATGCAATGCCTGGTGGAAGCAGGTACATTGATGGCAAGGGAAACAATTTGCAGGGGATAGAGACTCACTGAGCTGCTCTTTCAGTGGGGGAACACACAACAAAAGCTGCTAACTTTCTACTGCAAAGAGACATACAATGGTCTGGCCTCCCTCACTGTGGCAAAGAGCTCGCGAGATGAGGTATTTTTATCACTTACAACATAGCTTGTCCTTGAAGGTCTTAGCAAATTGATTAATCAGGTCAAAGGTCTCAACCAGGAAGACGTGTTCCTCATGTGGCAAAGAGGCCATGGCTCTGAGGGAGGACATCTCTGCTCTCTGCACCCCGACGGCATAGATCTCAATACCAGACTCCCGAGCCTCCGCTGCCACCTCAGTAACCCGGTCCTGGGGCCTCCCGTCTGTTATAATGATGGCAACTCTTGGGATTTTCTGCACCAGGGGACGGGCACCCTCTTTCTCAGTGAAAGCAATACTCATGGCATACTTGATGGCTAAGCCGGTCATTGTGCCCTGGGCCAATGGGATCACCTCCTTGATACTCTTGATCATGTCAGCTTTCTTCTGGAAGGTCTTGAAGGAGAAGATATTCTGGATCTGGCTGGAGTACTGGATCATAGCAATCCTGGCAGCATCAGGTCCCACATTCAAGAAATTGATCATGTCAATCACAAAGTTCCTCATCAGCTCGAACTCAAAGGGGCGGACACTCCTGGAACTGTCAATAATAAACAGCAGATCCATGGGACCAGTTGTACACTTTCTATCTGAAATGAAAGGTAAGGTTTGTTGGAGCGAACTGAGATGACAGTCATTTCAAGTGCATTACAGATTATTTCATTATTTATTCAGGTTCCGAAATCTACTGATTTGGAACTCTATGTTCTGGCACGCTTCAGCTTCCGCACAGAGATGCCCCCGACCTAGAACCTCAACTCTTGACCTTCGACAAGCGTGAGGATTCAGGCAGAGGTCCCTTATGTGCCAACCATTGCTGGGGGCACAATCTGGGGAAGCGAACACATCAATAAGAGGTGAATCCAGAGCAGAGATCCGGTAAAGGATGGGGAATGTGGTGTGTGTTGGAAAGGACACACATGATTCTGAATCCTCTTTTCCCTAGAACAAAAGTAGGGTCACTTGCATCCCCCACCCTCGTGGTAGGCTTTACAAATGTAAACATTGGAAGTAATGAGTTTGCTAGTTTGTGGGCTTCTGGAGCATGGATCTCGAGATGGTTCTCACATGTGGTGGTGGGTTAGACATTACCCCACAAGACACATCTGCAATGACCTTGTCTCAAGTCCCAGTGAAGGCTCTGCATTTTCCTCAGTTCCCTCCTCGTTATATATGTGGCGATGTTTTGGGTACACATAGGCCTCTAACATGAAGAGTCCATTCTTGAGTCTTCTGAACTAAGTCTATCCAGGGCCTAGCCTGCTTTTGACAGGAGTAGGTTACATATTTTCGAATAAATATTTCACACCACTAGAGCAGGTGGGACTTGACCTCGGGTGTCCTGGCCCAAGAGGTAGGGAGTCTACCACTGTACCACAAGAGCCCTGAGGAGTATGTTGAAATGGCTATCACTTTTCAGGGCTAGGTGTTTACATTGCTATTAGATAAGGGAAAACTTGAATAAACAGACCATAAAAGTCAGATCTATAATCTTAAAAGGCAGTACCATCAGGAGAAGGGGGTGGGTGGGAAGAAAATTAGAAATGGTCAAATAACCTTATTCCAAGTTTTAGTTTTTTTAAACGAAATACTTATTTAGTTTTCCTACTGATTTTCTCTAACTTCAGACCTTCGTATCTCACTTGACAGCCAATTAATAAATCTCATCCATCCTAAATTGGCCAACATGTATCCACTGAAAAACTAACAATCAGGTGATTGTGAAAGACTCCAAAACAATTGTTTAAAGATCAGGAGAGTTCTCCTTCTGTCCTGCCTTAAATTTATCCTTCCATTACTAAAAACTGATTATCTAATTATCACACTGCAGTTGGCAGGAGCTTCCTGTGTGCAAATTGACTGCTACGTTCCCCTGCATTACAGAAGTAAGTCACTGATTACAATGTATTTGGGAGGCCCTAAAGTCAATGAGACCGTAAGATACAGAAGCAGAATTAGTCAATTCAGCCCATAGAGTCTGCTCTGCCATTCAATCATAGCTGATATTTTTCTCAACTCCATTCTTCTGCCTTCTCCCCATAATCTTTGATCCTCCTTACCAATCAAGAACTTATCTATCTATCTCTGTCCTAAGTACACTCAATGACTTTGATCTTTAGTTCCCAGCCCTGATCGCCTTGCAGCCACATCTCTGTGATACTTCCAACATTTTACCTGTTAATTTCAATCTTTGCCAGAAGCTCATTTACCTCGTTTCATATACTACATGTAGAATAGTCTTATGTGACAATAAAGGCTATTCTACATGCATTTAAATATAACAGCCTCATCCTGTGTTGACTGTCCCCCTTCTCATAATTGTCCCCTTATCTGCTGTGCCTGAAGTTAGATTCCTGACCTTTCCGTGCTGTCTGCCCTATTACTTGGTTTGGAAACTTTAATAACCTCTGCTGAGCCCTCCCTTGAGTCACAAAAGGTTCTTTGTAAAAAATAAGTTTTACTAAGTCCTTATTCCTGTATAAATAGAGTGTGTTGAGGGATAAAATACAAATAATCAAATAATTTCTGTTGCTCTGATTTGTTCCTGCAAAGAGTTATTGTCATCGACTATTTTATATTGCACAAATTACCAGGGGCGTTATTGATGAGCCTTTTCCTGATATCCAGTGCCACAGAGTGAGTAGAAATAAGAATTTCAACCATTTTTTCCCCCTCCTGTAAGCCTTACAACATTGTAGCTTGGGAATGTTTCCTATTATAAATGTGTGCTAATATGTAATTTTAGACATTTTTACCTGACAAAGTCATAAGTTTTAATGTTATAGCCCAAATCTTTATGTTGTTATGAATAATATAAATTAGGCAAGTAACACAAATTCCTAAATATTATCTTACTTACAATACTTTGGTTTTCTGACACACAAATCACAAATTTAGTTACAGCAAATGATTAGGAAGGCAGTTTGAAGCTTGTCATTTATTCAAAGCAAGTGGGATATAAAAGTAACTAATTGTTATGACAGTTGTACTTGGCATTAGTGAGATTTCATCTTCTGGTCTGATAACTTAAGAAAGTATATAATTGCATTAGAAGCAGTTCAGGGAAGGTTCACTTGAATTATTCCAAGGATGAAGGGCTTAACTTAAAGGAAAGATTGGATAACTTGGATGTATATCCATTATACTGTAGAAGAATGAGAAATTATCTTATTGAAACATTTAAGTCCTAAGGGAACTTAAAAAAATGGATGCTGAACAGATGTTTCCTGTTGTAAGAGACTAGAACTAAGAGACGGTTTAAAATTAAGGGGTCTCACATTTAAGGTAGCGATGAGGAGAAATCTTTTCTCCAAGGGTTATTACTTTGGAACTCTCTTCCCCAAAAAACAGTGGACGCAGATTTCATTAAAGACTTTTAAGACTATGCTAGGTTCTTGATTGACCAGGGAGTGTAAAGGTATGACGGTGGTAAAACTCCTCCAGCGATCAGAGGTAGCAGTTGCATTGTCAGCAGCAACAAGAATGCAGCTCCTTCTGGCAATTGATGTGAGAATTGCACGCTGACCAAGGCTTCAGCTCCTGGCTAGGCCCAGGTGCCCGCATCGGTGGCTTCAAATATCTTTATGGACGTAGTCTTTAATATCTGCATGTTTTTCTTATTTTTTGGTTTTCTTTTATTTCAGTTTGTTTTTTATATTCTGGTTTTTGTAACCAAGATGACATCAGAGAATGGCGAATTTGTACACTTTTCACTGTACTCATGTATTCCTATACTTAGGTAAACAAAAAATAAAATCTAATTCTAACTTGAACCACATTGGATCAATCCATGATGGCTCAGCCAGATTGAGGGCTGAATGACCTACTCCTGTTCCTAATATCATACGTGCACAAGTCTGTTAACTAGTATTACTTGCAACATGCAATATAAAAACAAAACAAAGGACCATTTTGAATATTGCTTCACAAAATTATTCATACTTCAACATGGGGAAATCTCTTTTTTGTTGGGGGTATGAAAATCCTACCATTTTCTCTCTAATCCGCAGCTGTTTCCCAGATAGTGAGAAATGAGGAAGGTAGACAGCTCTCAGGAATATTCCAATTAAACTCAGAATCATATCAATATGAAGTGCCACAGAATTAATCTGCAGATGTGTCCATATTTCTTTGCTTCCTTGCTGTCCCTCTCATTCCAGCCAAAAGCAGCTAAGTGAGATGAATTAACTGTGGATTCCTCTACTCCTGACATGATCCATTGACATGTGACACTAACAAGTTGTAGCAATTGCCTGGGCTCGATTAAAAATAGGATTCTTAAAATAACGCACTGTCTACAAGTGAATCGGTTCAGGCCTTCACCGTTTTAGGCAGAATATCAGACTTCCATACTGTATTTCTTATCTCTCAATAGTTTTCCTTACCTGCAATCATTCTGTCCCTTATCTTCGTTTGTCTTCTTTTGGCTGCATGAATCCCATCCATCAAGAGAACTTCCATTATCAGGACTAAACCAATTGCCAGAGGCAGCTTCATCTTTCAAACTGAGGTGTGTGACTGACTGAGAAATGGAGACAAGGTACCTGAAGAAAGAGGAGGAATAACATTTAACAACACCAACTTTTGGGCAGCATCCATCATTTCTTGTGCCTGCCACTGCTTCTTACTGTCTTGAGTACTTACTTGATGATATGAAGACAGCAAGTGACACACAAAGAAGACTGCAGCTAGAGGATGATGAGGGAAAATGGACAGGTTTAATAATAAGGGCTCACTTAACCCAGTTTTGTTTTAGTTAAGTATTGGAATATGGCCAGCACGGGCAAGATCTGTCCCTTAGTTACTTCCCCAGGAGGTGGTTTTGAGTTTTCTCTTAGAATCATTACGGAGTTCATGGATGAAGTTATTCTTTGGAATGATTTTCTAAAAACTGCTGGCAAGGCCACCTCAGAGGCTAGTTAAGAGTCAATTACATTCGTGTGGGATTCAACTCACATGTAGAGGCAATAGGCTTCCTTAAACAGACATGGAAAATTGCTGGAGAAACTCATCAAGTCTGGCAGGATCTGTTGGGAAAAAATAGTTAATGTTTCAAAGATAACACAGTGTGGAGCTGGAGGAACACAGCAGGCCAGGCAGCATAAGAGGAACAGGAAAGTTGACGTTTCGGGTCGGCACCCTTTTTCAGAAAACTTTCCTGCTCCTCTGATGCTGCCTGGCCTGCCGTGTTCCTCCAGCTCCACACTGTGTTATCTCTGACTGCAGAATCTGCAGTTCTTGCTATCTCTGAGTTAATGTTTCAAGTCTGGTACGGCTCTTTTGTTCTGAGGAAGAGTCATAATGGACTCAAAATGTTAACTCTGTTTCTCTTTCCACAGATGCTGCCAGACCTGATGAGTTTCTCCAGCAATTTTCTGTGTTTGTTTCAGGTTTCCAGCATTCATAGTATTTGTTTTTATTCCAGTCGATTTCCTTCTCTAAGACACCAGTGAACCAATTATTTAACCAATTAAGCACCTTCTTGGTCACCTAACATAGCAGGTTTTTAAAAAGAAATTACTGATATTTTATAACTTGATTTCAAATTCTCAAATGCCTTGGTAAGATTTGAGCTCACATTCTCTGAATTGTGTGCCCAGATCTCTGGATTCCAACTCTGTAACATAATCTGTGTGGAAATGACAAAGTGTTGGGCAGACAGGTGAGTTGACTCTCATGTAGCACAGGAGGTGGGCATTCAGCCTAATACGATGACACTTTGGAAGGTCTTGGAGCATCACAAGTCTGGAGGAGAATACAGAACTAGACAGAGGGAAGGATTTGAAAATAAGGATAAGAATTCTAAAATTAACATGTTGTTGAACTGGATGCCTGTACAGTGGGTACAGGAGTAGTGGATCTTGGTGTGAGTTAGGAACCAGTATTTTAGATGAGCTCAATTTTACAGAGTTGGGAGGCTGCTGGGAGAATAATCTGGTACCAATACTTGCTTCATGTTACACACCTTTAATGCTGTGGTTTTGTGTCCATCAGTTATTGCATTGACCATACTGATTTGCTTTAACATTTGCTATTGGATTGGACTCTATTTTATATTAATAATCTAGATCTTGGTATATAGAGGACAATTTCAAAGTATATAGATAGGACAACTTGGAAGATTGTAAACTGTGGGGGCAGTGTAGAACACCAAAAGGATGTTAACAAGCTGGGTGGAGTGGGCAGATAGGCAACAGATGAAGTTCAGTGCAGATAAGTGTGAGATGATGCATTTTGATAGGAATGTCATGGACAGACAATATAAAATTGGGGTATTATTTGAAAGCATATGAAGGTCCAGTGGGACCTGGCTGTATATGTGCATAGATCATTGACAAACCCAAGGCAGACACAGCAGTAAATAAAGCATGGAGAATCCTGGGCTCACTACTAAAGGCATGATGCTGAGGTGCCGATGCTGGACTGGGGTGGGCAAGGTGAGAAATCACACAACACCGTGTTACAGTCCAACAGGTTTATTTGGAATCACAAGCTTTCTGAGCACTGCCCCTTCATCAAGTGAAGTCACTTCACCCATTCTCCTGCCTTTTCCCATATCTCTGCACATTATTTGAATAGAAACAATGTGCAGGGATATGGGAAAAGCCAGGAGAATAGGTATTGGTCATAATGCTCATTTGGTGAGCTAGTACAGACATGATGGGCCAAATAGTTCAGTAACAGATTAAGATGAGCAAATTAAGACAAAATTCTGCCTGCATATCCAAACAATACTGAATCTGAGAAATAACTTCAAGAGGCAAACTTTCTGTGTGGAATTCCTTTCCTCACACAGCTTTATCTTGTTGCTTTTCCAATCAGGGCTGCCCCAAATCAGTGCTGACTAATTCCAAGATCAAGAGGAGATTCGTATTGAGGTTGAATCTGTACACTTTGGATTGGATTAATGCTGTCCAGGCTTTGTTTCCCATCTAAAGATATAGCAACCGGCCAAGATATGTTGGTGAAAACATTCTGCTTTTCTCCTTTGCACGTGAAGTGCAGATAAAACAAATTGAGGTGCCTCTGGTGTGGGACTCCAATCAGTTGCTAACTGTGGTTCATGTTCATGTTCACATTGAGCACACCCTTGATAGTGTCACCAATGCAATCACCATGCAAAAATGAAATTGAGAAGCAGGACAGACCCAGCACTTCAAAACTGTGCATTAACGGGGTGTGTGGGCCATCAGCAGCAGTTATTTCAAACACAGTCTGTGATCTTCTGACCCAACAGATTCATCCCCCACCACTGACTCTGCCAGGATCACAAAGCTAAGCCAAGGATCAACCTTAGTTCAATGACGAGTGCAGGACAGCATGCTAGCAACAGCTCCAATCATACAGCACAAGACACAGCATGCAAAGTAATATGTGACAGACAGAGCTAAGCATTCACACAACCAATGATCAGCTCTAACCTATGCAAACCTGTTACATCCAGTCATGAATGATGGTGGACAATTAAACAACTAACCAGAGGAGATGACTGATCTTTATCAATCTTCACTCTTCACTCAAATCTTCTCTCAAACCCTGAGCTTTATCCCGATTATCAATGGCAAGAGAACCTGGGACATCCGTGTAAAGGACAAGTATCTTCGGCCCGACCTGCTGAATGGATGATAGAGGCCAGTGTTCAGCCAATTCGATTCACTTCACGTTATGTCAAGAAGTGGCACTGGTTAGCACAAACGCTACTGTTTCGGATGCTATGCTGCATGTCTTCCACTTTTTGCTTTTCACAGTTCAATACAAACTCAAGTATGCTCTCTCCTTCCTGACACACACTCCTTACTAGAGAAAAATCAGCCCTTAACTAAGTGTTGCAAATGCTGCGAAGAGCTACAGCTGCTCTCTATTATTCCTGATGCATGTTCTGGTCATTCTTAAACGGACCTTCATAATTTTCAAGCTTGTCAACTGCCAACTTTCTGTATTACTGAAACCACGTGCTCCACAACTTGTTGCACCCCATCCACTTGTTCCAGTACAAGTACAGCATTGGCAACGACCTGACAAAGTGGGGAAGTTTCCTGGGATAAACCACAAAAAGTAGATCCGATTCAACTACCACTCCATTAGGTCGATCTAAACCATTAGCAAAGTAATAAATAGTGTCATTGACAGTGCTATCAAGCAGCACCTACTGAGCAATAATCTGTTCATTGATGTTCACTTTGTTTCGACCACATCACTTAGGTCCTGACCTCATTACAGCCTTGGACGGAAAACGTAGATGGAAAAGCTGAACTCCAGAGGGGAGGTGAGTGTGATTGGTCTTGACATCAAGGCAACCAGCGACTGTGGCTTCAAGGACAGTGAGCAAAACTGAACTCCAATTTTCAATGAACTGGTCTGATATCGGGAAAAACACACCCCCACCCCACCACCAGTATCATATTGCTGGATCTTTGTCTGTAGTGGGTGGAAACTGATGAGCAGTGGGCATGAACGTTTCTGATGGACCATCCAGTCTGCTTGCAATTCGCTGGTGGTGCTTATTCTCATAAAGTTTCATCCTGTGTTACCCTGGGATAGCACTTGGATCTTATACATTGACAGGCATCAGATCCATGGGGTTTGAAATTTCAATGAGGCTTCTAAGTATCATTCCTTGTAAGTCTCTCACTGCCCTAGGATATATCAAAGTGCTTTACAGCCAGTGAAGTACTTTTTGAAATGTAGTCACTGTTGGAAGGTGGTAAGCATGGTTGCCAATGGATGCACAGCAAGATTCCACATGCAGCAAGGTGATTAATAACCAGATAATCCAATTTCAGTGACACTGGATGAGGGTTAGATACTGGCCAGGATAACTCAAAAAATTGCCCAGCTCTTCTAGAATATAGAGATCATGGGATCTTTCACATCCAGAAAATGGTTGCGGCTTCAGATTAATGGTATCTCTGACAATGCAGCAATCCCTCAGTGCATTGGAGTGTCTGTTGTTCAAATATCTGGAGTGGGACTTCAACTGACAATCTTCTGGTTCAAACTATCTACTGAGCGTCAGGTAGAAAATGATATCTCTTACAATGAACCAATCATCTTTTGCTGTTTTGTGCTTTTACTGGGAACCAATTCCCTCCCATTCTCAGTTGACTAGCTTAGACCTAATCAGTCCCGTATACAAACTGAGCTTATTTCACTTTGTTACAATGTTTGCCATATTTATTTGAGGCAATTTTTCATCTATTCACTTATTTGTTTGTCTGTTCTTTGAAGTTGTCACAGGAAGAGTAATTTTCATTAAATGTTGCCATCTGCATCTAGCACACACAATAAAGGACTGATCAATTCTCCTACAGTCTCTGTTACAAAAGTCAATCTGTTAATTGAAATATAAATCTCGATATTAAATGATTTTAACTTCTTTTACATTATTGGTGGAAGCTTGCATGTGCTTTTTTTTTCCTTCTTGGCTGATGTCTGTCAAGATCCCAGCGAACTAGAAATGATTTTATACCAAATTCCACTCACACAAGAGGCTGTACCAAGGTGCTTGATGAAAGGAGAATAAGAGACATGTGCTATCTTCGACTGGAAGCTGAAACCAGTCTGGATTTCAGTGATGTCTTTGCAAATCTGAATGCAAGTTGGATTTGTGAACGGGATCTGATAGCAATAGTTATCAGGTTCAGTTCAATCTCACCATTCTCTCACAATGCCTTTTCTTCATTGGCCAGCTCAGTGGGACTGCCTTCGCTTGGTTCTGTTCTACCCTTACCAACTGTAGCCCTGCAATCTCTTGCAATGGGTTTTCTTCCCATTTCTGCACTGTTATCTCTGAGTGTCCCCCAATAATTTATCTTTGCCCCCACCCCCCCACCCCATCCACTGTTGCCCCTTGGCAACATCATCCAGAAACATGTGTCAGATTCCACTTGTGCGCTGATGACACATAGTTCTATCTTATCACTGTCTGCTGTGACCATTTCTCTTGTTTCCTGGCATCCACTATTGGGTGAGGAACATTTCTCTCCAGTTAAACAAGAAGATCAAGCTTATCAATTTTTAGACCTCACTGCAAGCGTGCTTCCAATCCTATGTGTCTCTCTCACCACTAGCTCAAGGTGGATTTGTTTATCTAGTCCATGTCTGAAGTGACCTTGAGTTGCGTTGTTGAACCCACATGGCTCTATCACAACTTCAACTGCTGTCTCTCCAGTGATGTCACTCATCTCCAACACTGACTCCGGTACTGACCCCCAGATCTACGGTTTTATCACCTCCATATTTACCCATTCCAATGACTTTCTGGTCAACCTCCTATCCCCCATCTTATTGTAACCTTCATATAAGCTAAAACCCTGCTGCCTACAGCCGACACTGCACCAAGTCCTCCAGAAGGTGCCAGGGCAGGAAGAATGAATGAGATGGTCAAGACTCATACTCGCCTTTATCACCCACAGCACAGAATAGAAGAGTAGGGAGATTACGTTGAAACTGTGTAAAATACTGCTTAGGCCATCTGCAGAGGAGATTTACTGAGATGTTGTCCAGGCTGGAGAATTTTAGTTACGAGGAAAGATTGGATCGATGAGGGTTATTTTGTTTGGAACAGAGGAGGCTGAGGAGATGCCTAATTGGAATGTATAAACTGATGAGAACTCTAGATAGGGCCTCCCTAACCATTCTATTCCCCTTTCCCTTGGCTGGTGGGTTCATGACCAGAGGGTAATAATTTAGGGTCAGAGGTAAGTGAGTAAAAGGGGGTTCAAAGGGATTTTTTTTCACCAGGGGACAGTGAGGATCTGGAATTCAATACCTAAAAGAGCAGGAGACGAAGAAACCCTCACCACATTTTAAAAAGGATATTGACTCAAACCTACAAAGGTATGCCCCTGAGGAGATGGTAAGTGGGATTAGAGTGGGTGGTATCTCATTGGCCAGACATGGATGTGCTGGGCCGAATAGCCAACTTTGTGCTGCAAACTTTTATGATTCAAATCCCAGTCAGTCATTATAACTCACAAATCCCCTATATTCAGCGATCCAGCAAGCCAGCATTCACGTAAATACAAGCTGTCTCATGTTCCCTTCATTTAGGGTGGTACTGACATACACACCTACTGCGTAACTCTAAGTGAGGTGATGCTGCCCCTTTTAGAGCAGACCTGACAGTGTTTTCAGACAGCGCAGATGGTATTTCAAAGCTCCCTCTACAATGTAAACAGGACAAATTCCGTGCTCCCGGGAGCCCGAGTACACTGTAGGGTCAGTCAAAGTAGATGTGCTAGTAAAAGTTACTAACTTTAGTTCAGAGAAAAGTATGTTAGGTCATGGGTACAACTCCTACTCCAGAGACTGAGGACAAAATTCACACTGACATCCTGGTAATAGACTGAGAGAGTGCTGTACTGTCAGAGGTGCAGTCTTTCAGATGAGACATTAATCTAAGGAAATATAATGTTGAAGGAGAAGAGAGTGCTCCATGATATACTGGCCCACACTTATCCATCAATCACAATCACCTAAAACAAAAATGGTGAAAATGTTCAATACTTTTGGCAGCATCTGTGGTGGGAAAATATGATGTTTTCTTCAAAGAATAGACATAAACAACTAAAAACAAATTAACTGTTTCTCTCCCTGCACATGCTGCCAGTCATGCTGAGTACTCCCACTATCTCATTTTAGATTGAGCATTAGTAGTATTCTTCTTTCATGTAACAGAAAGATAATTATGACAGTGCAGCTTTTAAATTTACTCTTGCATTTCCTGCAACAATGGTGACACTTCAAAACTATTTCAACAGTAGCAAAGTACTTTGGGGTATTCTGAAATACTGTAAAAAATTTGTTACACATTCAGGCTAATTAATGCTTTCTTTGGTTGGCCGTTCATTTTTGTGGGCACCAAAAAATATTTTTTAATCTAGATCTTGTTAATTTTGGACTCAAATCCCTGGTTCAGTGCTCGCTATTACAATTATATCTACATGATCTGTTCTGAAGAACAGGCATATCAGGCTTAAGACATTAACTCTGTACACAGATGCTGCCAGATCTGCTGTGTTTCTCTGGTACTTTCTAACTTTATTTCAGATTTCCAGCATCTGCAGCATTTTGCTTCTATCTGCATTACCTGTCTCTGGAAGCAATTATTATCTCAATAGTTTGATTTGGAAAGGAAAGATGCAGGATAAAATACCCACTATGTCATAAGACCAGGATATGCATTAGCACAATGGTGTCTTGAATCTCATGCCTTTAGTTTTCCTGTTAATAGATTTTATTTGTGCAGACAGCTTGCTTTTAGCTGAATAGGTAATGCAGGAGTAGAGAGTTACAACCTTAAGTAACACTGTCCCTTTAACCAGAGAACAGTGGGCCATGTTTCATTGTAAGGCTGTTATCTTGTTCTGCTCCCAGATGGTGATTAGAAACTATTCAATGAAATTACCACCTAGCAAACCTGTTGCCTTTCCTGGTTAATTATTAACCAATTTATAACATGTTTGGAGAAGTCAGTCATATACAAGTATTATATGTAATGCTGGATTTCCCATCTTGGGTGTTTAGAGGATGTCGGAGGTCGGGTTGGTGAAGGAGAACAGACAACCATCTCAACTCTGTCGTGCATCTGACCCCACCTATCTGTGTGGTGCTGGCTTTAACACTAGGAGCCTGTCGCTGGACGTCAGGCTAACCCTGCTGCAGCTACAGGAGGGAGATGGTAACAGCAAAGGCGGGGTGGGGTGACTTGCGGGGTGTGTACCGACAGAAGCCTCTCCCTGCATAACCTTGAAGAAATGTTTAGCAAAAGAAACATCAACCATGGTTAACTCACTGCCTGGAGAGTTTCCACACATTGGGCCCCCCCGCTCCCTCTCTCTCTCTCTCTGTCCGTGACTGTGCTTCCTTTCCTGCTGATTGCAATGCCACACCCCATCCTCTGTCCTAACCTGTGACAAGTGCATATCATTGATATCTAATGTCAGCCATGGAAGACAGGGTAGAAATCTTGCCTTTAAGTTGGCTGTGGATAAAACCATATTCCAGAGACTTAAATACTAAATCTAAGAATTCACTTTGCCGAAGTACAGAGGTTAAAACTATCTAAAACTCCAGTTAGGCCTCGAGAGATCATTATATCCAATTCTGGGCACCATAAAGGCAATAGATATTAATTGTGCAAATTAAGGTTAAGTATATATAAGTGCAGCACAATTATTGGACAACTACTTGAGCACATATTACAGGACATTAAAAGCTTGTCATTAATCACCATTGAAGTACAGAGGGAGTGCAGCCCTTTCAGAAGTGAGTATTTCTTTTAAGATGAAACTGAAGCACTGTCATTCCTCTTAAGTGGACAAGAAGGATCCTATAGAAGAGCAGGGGGGCTTTCTTGCTGTTCTTACTGAAATTTATCCATCAATCAACAGCTGAACCAGATAATCACAGAAATTTAAAAGACTTTTGGAAAGATACATTAATAGGAAAGGTTTAGAGGCATATGGGCCAAACAGGACTAGTTTAGTTTGGGAAATTTGGTTGGTATGGACTAGTGGGACCGAAGAGTCTGTTTCCATGCTGTATGACTCTATAATCACAGTGGTTACAGTACAGGAGCAGGCCATTCAGCCTACCCCAAATCCAACGATGCTGTTCGTGGAATCTTGCTCCAAGCAAGTTACCAACCACTTATCCCACATTTCAACAGTGATTACTTTCAATAAGTGCTTTACTGGCTGTAAAATGGTTTGGGAACGTCCTGAGAGTGTGCAGAGTATTATAAAAATATAAATTCTAACATGACTCCTGTACAGAAGACTGAAGGTTTCATTGAAGAAACCTATTGTTCAGTGTCCCAAGGTTTCAGGTTCGGCAATTCCCCAGCAATAAAAACTACTGAAGAACTTTTGTACAGCTCTTCAGAGATGCTTGAAATAATCTAACCCTTGCGTCAGGCTTCCTCCACAGTCTCTGAAACTCATGTCAGAGATTTGCCATACAAAGGGAGCTCTTATCATCCACCCTCTGCTCACAATCAGTTTGCTTTCTCCACTCTGAACTCTAACAGATTCATCTCAAATGTCATCAGGGACAGATTACACTACAGTGAGTTGAATTAACCCTTGAACCAATCTGTTATGGAATTGAAAACTCATAATGGAAAAGCCCCATAAACCCTTCCCTTGGAGGACAAGCTAGTTCCTGTATTTATACAATTAACTCTGTTGAATAGACACAATTAAAATGTATACATTGATTATTTAGTTGTCAGTCTTGGGTATATGAGAGTTAGGAATGACTGAGATGTTATTATTGATTAAAGGAGATGATACCAAGGACAGAATTTCTGCTAAACCTTTAAAAAACTCTAATTAGGTCAGGGTTTTTGTGACACAGTGATAATATTCCTGCCTCGAGAAGATCTGGGTTCAAGCCCCACTTGCCCAGAGGCGTGTCAACATTTCCGAACAGGTTGGTTAAAACTATCTAAACCTCTAGTTAGGCCTTGACAGATCATTATGTCCAATTCTGGGCACCATAAAGGCATTAAATATTAATTGTGTAAAATAACGTTAAGTATATATAAGTGGGGCACAATTATTGGACAACTACTTGAGCATATATTATGGGACATTAAAAGCTTATCACTAATCACTATTGTTTAATTAGTTAACTAAATTATTCATTCCTGATTGGTTAATTTTAATAGTATAATGGGACAATTTAGACGGGCTGAAACACATCATTGCCCCCAACGATAACACTTTGTTTCAACAACTTTCGTTTCAAGTTTTGTTTTTCTTATGGTATCCCTTTAAGAGGCTGGTTATTTATTAACTTGCTGATTAGTTTGTATTCCATACTCAATAGAGGACATTCCTCAGTAACCAGTGAACACCATGGGGACTGAAACACCTCCTCAGTCCCCAAACACAACTGAATTCTCATCAGTTTCCTTTAAATGTTTGTTTTTGTTGCATTTTCTCTTAAAGGGATTTTTTTTAACAGATTTGAAAGAGACATGGCAGCATGGGTGAAGAGGGAGCTCTACAATCCACTGGTATTGCTTGAAGTTTCTGTGGTAGGCAGCCAAGGAGGAAAAAAGTGCATCATTTCCCTGCCACTCCCCCCAAAAACTTCATTTAATGAATTTCCTTCAAAGCTTTGTTAGCATTCCTTTAAGAGGATAAATCTTTTGAAAACTTAATTAGTTTACTTGATTTACTTAGTGGTTAGCACTATAGCCTCACAGCGCCAGGGTCCCGGGTTCGATTCCAGCCTCGGGTAACTGTCTGTGTGGAGTTTGCACACTCTCCCTGTGTCTGTGTGGGTTTTCTCTGGGTGCTCCAGTTTCCTCCCACAGTCCAAAGATGTGCAGGCTAGGTGGATTGGCCATGCTAAGTTGCCCATAATGTTCAGGGATGAGTCAGGGTTGGTGTGGACATGTTGGGTTGAAGGGCCTGTTTCTGCACTGTAGGGATTCTATGAACTAAGAGGTGTTTTAAATCATACGGAGTTCAGTTAGAGTGAATAAACTATCTCTCTTCCCCCAATCAGAGATGTCTGATTCAAAAGTGATTGGCCAACATTATCATACCAAGGTGACATGAGGTGCCACCAGATATAACTAATAAGATTGTGTTTTAATGACTATGAGTTTATTGATACCTTTCAGGAAGAAGTTTGTGTCATCTTTACCTAGTCTGGTCTACATGTGAGTTCCAGTCTCCATAATGGCACGGAGTTATAGGCAGAACGTTACCTGTCTTGCTAAGATAGTCTCCAAGGTGGAACCAGGAATAAGTTAGGACAGGGCATCTAGTGGGTGGGCTGATGAGATACCTGCTCTATTGTTCCTTTGATCAAGGGTTAATGAGGGTGAGGCAGGCAAGTAAGTGGAATTGAGGCCATGATCTAATTGAATGGCAGAACAGACTCAAGGGGCTGAGTGGCCTACTTCTGCTTATGATCTTACATTCTCTGGCTGACCTTGCTAAGGATGGAGGTGGGAACAAAAACCCACCTGGTAGTAGTGGGCAGACAATTTGCATATGTAAATGTTTGCCTGGCAGTAATTGGAGATGCTGCTAAGGGCAACACCTAGCACTTACTTGATGGTGTCTGTTCAGAAAACTCAGCAGGCCCTATAATTACCCCCAATGGTGCAGCAGGATCCTTTAATTACCCCAGTGAGGCATCAGGCTACATCCACAGCCAATGAAATAACAAGGTGTAGAGCTCGATGAACACGGCAGGCCAAGCAGCATCAGAGGAGCAGGAAAGCTGGTGCTTCGGGCCTAGACCCTTCTTCAGAAATGGGGCCATCATTTCTGAAGAAGGGTCCAGACCCGAAACGTCAGCTTTCCTGCTCCTCTGATGCTGCTTGGCCTGCTGTGTTCATCCAGCTCTACAGCTTGTTATCTCGGATTCTCCAGCATCTGCAGTTCCTACTATCTCCACAGCCAATGGCCTCTGTTCTAGGTATGTAGCAACTCTGGCCACACTTTATACCAACCAAACAGAGGTCCTCGAAGAGCACCTGAGGCATGGAGACATTTTTACAGTTCACCTACTACATCTGTAGGCTCCACCTTTACTACACAGGGCACATCAAACACAGGTCAGAGGTTCGGTTTTGGAATCACCACAACACCTCTTGGTTCTTTGTCTTGTTCTCTCTTTCCCTAGCCTCTTCTTAAGTTCCCTCTCTCCTGGCTTTCTCTTTACCAAGTTCCCCATCTCTGACTTCTCCCCAAACTCTCTCTCCCTTTGCCAAATTCCCCATCTCTGCCTCCCTTTGACAAACTCCTTGTCTCACTATCTCTTTGCTAAATTCCCTCCCTCTCTCTCTTTAACTTCCCTGTCTTTGTTAAAACTGCCTCCTTATTTCCTTGTTGACAGATTATGGGGGAGGGCGTGAGAACCAGCCGCGTGTTGAGCAGATTAGACGAAAGGGAAAACATAAGGAGAAGGTGCCGGGTCCTTGGAGAGAGGAGAGAAAGCGAGCCTCCACTGCCGCGTACCGAGTCTCGGCACAATGTCCAGGGACTCTCCGCTGGCCGCACACCACAGCCAGACCCATTGCAGTAAGTAGCCGGGGATATAGCCATGGGCAGTGGGCTGGAGACCTGGTCCCAGCCGCTACGCTGTAAACCAACCCTCGGGAGCGTGGGGTTAAACTCAGAAAGGCACTGAGTCCAATTTACGCTTCAATTCATGGACATTCCAGTATAGCAATTTCGTCTGAAACTGATCATTCCAACTTTCCAATGATACCTACAATTTGTAACCGGCTGGGTTGGCAGTTATACTGCAGGCTGCGCCAATGCTTGTTTGATTGGCCACTGTTTCAAAAAGAATTTAATTGACTGTGAAACGCTCGAGGGTGTCTAAAGACACAAAGACTTCAGGACACCCTACAATATGGAAGCAGGCCATTCGGTCCATCGAGTGCACACTAACCCTCCAAATAACCCTAACCCCCTCCCCAGCCTAGCCCTGCAGTTCACACGAGTTCTCTCTCTCACACACACACACACTCATCTCAGGGGATCAAACCCAGGTCCCTGGTGCTGGGAGGCAGCAGCGCTAACCACCGAGCCACCCTGCTTCCCTAATTTATTGACTAACTCAATCAAAGAGTTGTCCTCAGCTGAGTGTTGCAAACTGGCACATTCCAAGCTTCAAGTGTGTGTTGAGGGAACCACTAAAACCTTGGCAATGCTGCCCCCAGTACACAGTGGGTAAATGTCACTATGTAAGGCCTTTCTTCCTTGATGATATCCCAAAGGTCTGTTAACATATAGAACCCTGGTAGCTTCTATTGTAAATAGTTTCTGGTCATATTTGGTAAATAATTCGGATTTCCATTTGGATGGGCGTACCTATGAGTGCAATGCTCAAATGAAATTTTTTTTGTTTCTATAATGTTGGGCTTGAACTGCTTTGTAATGTACTTATAGTTAAGTATAATTACCCCTTGAGAGACACAAAAATAAGACTTAAGAAAAGACTTATTTTTGATAAAACAAGCTCCAATTTACAAAACAACATTAACAAGTTATATACAAACCGAAAGAACTGTGGATGTTGTAAATCAAAACCAAAAACAGAAATTGCTGGCAAAGCTCAGCAGGTCTGGCAGCATCCGTGAAGGGAAATCAGAGTTAACATTCCTCAGGACTGAGGAAGGGTCACTCGACCCAAAACATTAACTCTGATTTCTCTCCACAGACGCTGCCAAACTTGCTGAGCTTTTCCAGCAATTCTATGTTTGTTATTGACAAGCTGTAACTGTCTCCTTTATCCACAATGTCTTGTGCACCAAGTGAATCACAATGAGAATGGGATAGAAGTTGATGTACAGATTAGGCATGATGAGATTGAATGGCGGTGCAGACTCAATGGGTCGAATGATCTACCACCACTCCAATTATTTTTTTGTTCTTATGCAGTCCAAACTTGCTGATAGAGATCAAATGTTCCCCTTGCAGACATTCCCCCTGAGGTTGTCAAAGGCACTATATAACTGCAGCTTCATCCTTAAAATACAAGTGCTGAAATAGAGTTTGAAGTAATGGATTACTCAGTGGAGACTAGGATTGTTTTAGCCACTTTGGCTTTAAGCTCTGGTATTCCCTGCCTTTAACTCTCTGTCCCTTTCTTCTGCTTAAAGATATTCATTAAAATCTACCCCTTTGGACCAAGTATTTGGTGGTTTGTCCTGATATTTCCTTCTGTAGCTGATTGAGAAAATTCTTATTGAAAATGCTCATGTTGAGTTCTTTCAAACTATGAGAAGTGCTATTCCAGTATGTTGTTATACCGTAGGTGATATGAAAGACTTAAAAACATTGAATGATGATTTTTCTCATCCCCAAAGTTGGCGAGGAAGACTAGATAATTGAGGGGTGGGGATTAGTGCCAGAGAGATAATCACCTCTATTCCACCACCTCAGCAATTATCAAGGAGGTCCCTGGGTGACCTGTTACCAGTGAAGGGCGTTAAGTGGTCAATTAATGTCCACTGATGGTCCTTCACACAACACTGACCTGATGAGATAGCAAGAACTGCAGATGCTGGAGTCAGAGACAACACAGTATGGAACTGGAGGAACACAACAGGCCAGGCAGCATCAGAAGAGCAGGAAAGTTGACGTTTCGGGTCGGGACCCTCCTTCGGAAATGGGGAGGGGGAAGGGAGCTGGGAAATAGAGAGAGGGGTGGCCTACCTTCCCCAGCCCCACCCCTCCTCTCTCTATTTCCCAGCTCCCTTCCCCCTCCCCATTTCCGAAGGAGGGTCCTGACCCGAAACGTCAACTCGCCTGTTCCTCTGATGCTGACTGACCTGATGAGCTGCCTTCCTGGCAGATAAGAAAAATGGCTTTCTCTCCGAAATGGTAACCACATCAACCTGTCTGCTGCATATTTTCCCAAACCTGGGGGCAACTGGGGTAGGAGGTGGCCACTGAAAGCCATTGGCCTATCCTTGCCCCTGAAATTATGAACTCCCCAGACCCCCCACCACTAAACCAAATCTCTTCATTGGTGCAGCTCTTAATGGCCACACTCCCTGAACATCCAGAAATGCTCTTTATTGGCTTGTAGCCACAGGCGAGGTGGAACCTCAGTGGGGATGCTCCTGATTGGATGAAAAGCTCACCGCTCAGCACATTAAGTACCTAATTGTTGCTTGATCCAGTAATCTTTCTCACTAGGAAGTTAATTGCCCCTGAAATCGCCTGTGTCGAACCAGAACATTAAATCTCAGCTGGGTTATTGTCCTGTGGAGCAACACAGTGTTTGAATTGTTTGGAAAATGTCACAGAAATACTGAACTCTATGTTGATTGATGGATGAATGGGTAACAAGGCATCAAGTCAGAATTAAAACAAAAACCATAAAGCACAAATTTAGATGCATTGTTTGCACCATTTAATTAGCTAATGACTGGTGTGTGTCTCATTTCCATTTTTCCGGCTTTGCTCCTTGTAACCCTTTCAAAAGCTCTAATTGTAGTGTTTTGAGGATAGGAATTCAGATTTCTGTTAGACTTTCCGTGACAAACCCCGAAGGCTGACAACACAAAACTAGATGAGATTGTGAGGAAGATGAAAGGAAGCTTCAAGGTGATTCAAACAATTTCAATATGTGGGCAAACACATAGCAGATGCAGTATAATGTTAATAATTATGAAGTTATACATTTCGTTGTAAAATTCAGAAAAGCAGAGTATTATGTAAATTATGACTTGATGTAAAATGTGGATGCACAATGTAAGAATTGAGGATGCTGGAGATATGAAACACACAAAACAGAAATCGCTGGAGAAACTCAGCAGGTCTGGCTGCATCTGTGGAGACAGAAACAGTTAATGTTTCAAGTCCCATGACCCTTCTACAGAACCCTCTCCTGTTCTGAACAAAGGTCACAGGACTCAAAATGTCAATTCTGTTTTCTCTGCACAGATGCTGCCCAGATCTGCTGAGTTTCTCTGGCAATTTTTGTGTGTTTCATATCTTCATCCATGGTTCTTTGTTTTATTTTGATGTACAAAGGGATCTGGGCATCTTTATAAAGCAGTCAATGAAAGTTAATATGGAGGTGTAGTAAGCTATCAGAAATACAAATGGTATATTAGGTATCATTGCAAGAGGATTTGAGTTCAGAAGTAGGGATTCCATACTACAGTTATGCAGGGCCTCAGTGAGACCACACCTGGAGTATTGTGTGTGGTTTTGAACTCTCTATCTAAGAAAGGACAAACTTGCCATAGAGGGAGTGTTGTGGAGGTTTGGGATGGTAGGACTGTCCTTGAAGAGAGATTGGTTCGACCAGGCCTGTATTCACTGGAGTTTGGAAGAATGCGAGGGGATCTGATTGAAATGTATAAAATTCTAACAGGGCTGGACAGAACTAGATGCAGAGAGAATGTTTTCCCTGGTTGGCAAGTCAAGAACCAGGAGTCACGGTCTCAGGATATAGGGTAGGCCATTTAGGACTGAGAAGAGGGAGTCATTACAGGAGACTGCAAAGGCCAGATTACTGAATATATTCAAGGAAGAGATCAAATCGTTTTAGATCTTAAAACAGCGAAGGGTATTCAGAGAAGGCGGGAATATGACATTGAGGTAGAGGTTTGACCATGATCATATTGAATGGTAGAGGAGGCTGGGAGGGACAAATAGCGTCCTCCTGCTCCTATTTTCTATGAATGGCATAATGTCAAATGCTGGAAAGTGAGATTAGTGTAGGTAGGTCAGTGCAGGCTTAATGGGCTGAATGGCCTCTTCTGTGTTGCATGATTCGATGACTCTAATAGCATTGAAAGCAAGGCTTCTCAAACTCTCATACTCGAAGTTAAAATAGGTCAATCTTACTAAACAATAAATAGAGATAGAAATTGAGCTGAGTTATTAGGGCTTCATGAGATTGCATTGTCAAGGCTTGGGATCTCATGTGGTTTTACCCTATTAAGTCCTCCCGCCCTAGAGTAGAACAGAGGGCTTCAGATGCCCATTGGTCTATTTTCTGTTCTTCTTTTATTCACAGGATGAGGGCGTCACTTTTAGGCAGCATTTATTGCCCATCTCTATTTGCCCAGATGGCAGTTGAGAGTCACCCACACTGGTGTGGGTTTGGAGTCACATGTAGGCCAGACCAGGTAAGGATGGCAGTTTCCTTCCCTGAAGGACATTAGTGAACCAGATGGATTTTTCCAACATTCAGCAACAGATTCATGGTTATCACTAGATTCTTAATTCCAGATATTTTTTATTGCATTCAAATTCCACCAACTGCCTGAGGGGGGTGGATTTGAACCTAGAACATTAACAGTCCAGCAATGGTACCACTAGACCATTGCTTCTCCTCATTATGTAACAATTGCCTCTAGTTGAGTGGTTAATGATTGGGTGGAGGAGTGAGGATTGGGTGCCATGACAGAATCTACATTTGATTTTTGGAAAGTAGACAACAATGTACATTCCATGTTGGAACGTTGCCGGGGCTAGAGAGTTTCAATTATGATGAGAGATTGGACAGATTTAGGTTGTTTTCCTTACAGCAGAGGAGATCGAGAGGGGAC